GGAATGGAAAAATTAAAAATTCAAATTTTTAAAAATTCAATTTTAATAAAGCTCCTGCTTTTGGTTTTATTGGTCTTTTCTACTTATCTCATTAATCTTAGTTTTCTCACATTATCTCCCTTTCCTTTCAACATAACTTAAACTTGTTGCTCTTCATTTTTACAAGTTGACATTTTCATCCTTTTACAAATAAAAATTTTGTATCTATGAATTTTCCCTAGAAGTTTTAACACAACACAGTTATCAAGTTTAGGTAATTACAAATTATTTAATTTATATGCAGAAGAATGTTCTTAATTTCCAAGTGATTAAGGTTCTTTTGGTTACCTTTTGATGCCTGATTTCTAGTTTTATTTTACTATGTTATAATAAAATGCAGCCCGAAAACCTTCACTTCGGGGAATTTATTACAGTTCTGTTTGCAGACAACTGTTTTTGCTGTAAAATGTTCTTTGGGTCTAAAGAGAAAAATGTGATTTGTATTTGTTATCTTTTTAAAATTTCTTTTAAAAAAAAAATCAGAAGTATGGTTGCTTTATGATGCCAGTATCTGCTGTACAGCAAACTGACTCTGTTACACATACAGACACACGGCTATACATTAGGACAATATACAGGACTATACATAACCTATACATAGGACTCTGCTGTTGTGATTTCTATTTCTAACATAAAAAATGATGTATATATATTAGGCTAATTGTGTTAAATCCTGAAAGTGATGTATTCAAGTCCTCTACTATACCAAGTAGATTACTTAACCCAGTCTGAGATTCTTGTCTCATAGGGAATTAACATTTCTGGTAACTGATGTTTGGTAGTCTTCCATCATAATTTCATATTTACCTTTATTATAGATTTTTTATACTATTTCTGTAGTGTTTATTTTCCTACTTAAAGCAGATTAAAAAAATATTTATTTTCTGTAACTTAAAAACTACTGCAGAATCTCGGTTGGGTTTTTTACCCCAGTGTAAGTATAAAGGTGTACAGCACAATGACTTGACTTGTATCTACTGTGAAATTAAATAGTTTGAATAGTTTCCTATCAATTAAAAATATACTCTATACACCTTCAACCAATTCAAGACATTTTGAACGCTTTACTTTCCTTTCTCAATATACCCAACCCCATCTCTGCTCCAGACAAGGCAAGACCTTTAGAATTTTACTTACCCATTTTCTTGTCCCACCCCACATCCTGAGCTTTGTAAAAATAATCTAGCACTGTTAGAGCTACACTATTAGATTTTCTCTTTAGAGTATATAGATAATCATCTTGCCTTAACTTGTTTTGGCTTAATATTTCTCCAAACGATTACCTGAGGATATACAAATTTCTAGGCTACTACGTATCTTAACTGTCTTTTGCAATGAATTTTCTTTCTTTTGTAAACATGCTGTTTAGCTAACAGCCTTATATTCAGATATTTCTCCAGGGACTTCCCTGGTGGCCCAATCTGCCTGCCAATGCAAGGGACACAGGTATGATCCCTGGTCTGGGAAGATCCCACACCCTTTGAGGCAACTAAGATGGTTCATCACAGCTACTGAACCTGGGTTCTAGAGCCCGTGATCCACAACTACTAAAGCCTATATGTGCTCTGCAACAAGAAAAGCCATGACAATGATAAGCCACCACAATGAGAAGCCCATGCACAGAAACTAGAGAAAGCCCACATGCAGCAACAAAGACCCAGTGCGGTCAAAATAAATAAAATTTTTTTTAATTAAAAAAAAAAAAAAGAAATTTCACCAGATTTTGGTTAAGAGCAGTTTTTTCCTGCTATCTGGCACTTTAAATCTACAAACTCTTTTCCTCAGCTGTTTTTGCCATTTAATTGGTTTCCAGCAGTGTCTATACATTTATAGTCCCTACAAAATTTTAAAATATGAAAATAAATCTTTTAAGTTTTAGAAAGTTTCCCCCTTTTTCATCTCTTAAGAACTATCATTAACCACTTCATGAGGTATGTAAATAAAATTATACTATATACCTTAAACTTATACAGTGCTATATTTCAATTATATCTCAATAAAACTGGAATAAAAATTAAAACATTAACTCTTAAAAAAAATTCTCATTAAAATTCAAACAGAATTCTCTTTCTGCTTCTTTCATTAAACTGACTCCACAAGGAATTTCCTGGTGGTCCAATGGTTACAACTCTGGGCTTCCACTGCCAGGAATCAGGGATCAATCCCTGGTGGGGGAACTAAGTTCCCACAAGCCGAATGGTGCCGCCAGAACCCCCACAAAAAAACAAAAAGAAACTGACTCCACAGACTTATCACCTTTTCTTATTCCACTGGACTCTGAACTACTGTAGGCTCTTTAAACTTATTTGTTGTTTTATACACATATATTGTATACGTATGTATTTTAGTGAAAGAAGATATAGAAATTCTGCATCAGCTTCTATATTTAATTCAGAAGTCTGTGAGCAGCACTGAATTTTTTTAATGTTTGGCAGTACAAAATAATGATTAAAAGCATGGGCTCTGGAACGAGGCTGCCTTTCTAGAAATGTAATGTTTCAGGTTCCCTATCTATAAAATGGATAATAACAAGAGTAGCTAGGCAAACAACTTAGCAGATAACAGTATTACTAAACATGTAGAACAATTAAGATTGCTAGGGCAAAGTATAAGATAAAAACAACAGGTCCAACCACTTGTAGGAGTGAAACAATGTCACAGAAAAATCGCAAAGACTATAACCCTGATGTCAACTGCAGTGTAACTAGGTTATTCAGGTAAGAACAAGGATGGTACAACACGGCTGAAAAAGGCTCGAAATGCATCAGAAATACCATCCTTATTTATAAAAACTGATACAAAAAAGAAGCAAAGTCAGTTCAAATAAATCCACACTATCCAACTTGGTAGCCACCAGCGACTTGTTGCTATTTAAATTAATTTTAAGGCAAAAGAAGAGGTTGGCAGAGGATGAGATGGTTGGATGGCATCACCGATTCAATGGACATGAACCTGGACGAACTCCAGGAGATGGTCAAGGCCAGGAGTGCTGCAGTCCATGGGTTCAAAGAGTCAGACATAACTTGGTGACTGAACAACAATTTTAATTCCATACAATCAAAATTTTAGTTCTTCGGTTACACTCGCTACATTGCAGGTGCTCAACAGACATGTGCTCAGTAGCTATCTTACTGGACAGCACCATTATAAACAATGAGGAAATTAAGAAAAAAGACTGAGTTACTGATAGTGAAATCTCAGACTGTATCATACGTGAAACCTTAATGTATCTGTGCAACAGGGTGATCCAGATCACCAAGACAACTTGGACAACTTTCACTGTGGATTGGGTTCAAATCCCAGATATGCCATTAACCACCTAGAGGACTCTGAATATGTTACTAAATCACAGGCAGCATGCTACAGAGGTTAAGAGCACATAATCTCTGCTTGGACTTGAATTCCAGCTCTTATTAGTTGTGTAACACTGGGCAAGTTACTTCACATCGCTCTTTCATTTATAATCTTCATTTTACAGTAGTACTTGCTGCCTAGAGACATTAAAGACTAAAACACTTGTAAAAGTACTTTGAACAATGCCTTGCATTACTAAGGGCTATAGAACTATGTGCCTAATAAAATCTCTCAAGTTTCTACTGATTTCAAAATGGGCAGGATAAAACTTACTCTCCCTGCTTATTTCACAAGTTAAAATAAAAATGAAAATCACCTTCCATGCCATAAAGAAACAGAAAAGCAGGCTACACTTTTGGGAGAGTTACCTATTTTTTTTTTTTTTTTTGGTCAAAGACACCTACTTGTGAGAAAAAATTAAGTTCTGTTCAAGTTCACAATTAACAAGTGGCATAAACAGCGTAATTTGCTCAAAATATCCTCTCACAGACCAGAACAGAAACACAAAATAGCAAACACCAGGAATCTCATTAAAACCCTTAGAGAACTTTATTTGCATACATAACCTGCAGCCCATGAAATTTCAAAGGCTATTTAAAGAAAACTCAAATCAACACCTGACCAACTGCTCAACGCAAACTGTGAAAAATCATACCACCAGGTTAATTAGACAAGATTAGCCAGCATATGCAAAATGGGAATTTGTCTTCTGTTGAAATGTCAAAAGTTGTCAGCTGTTAGACCTTCATCCACGGCACACTGGATGCCAAATTCTTTCTAGAGTTTGTGGTTTCTGTGAGATGACGGCGTTGCAAAACCAGGGAAAAGACAACAAAAGGAAGCAGAGAAGGCCCCTTTTTGCAGTTACAGAAAATACCAATGCTGGCTGCTTCAACAAATGTTTTGAAACAAACAGCTTTACCACAAGCTATGTATTTTTGATGGTGCGAGAGAATAAGCATAGTACAGAGGAACTAAAAAGTAAAAGAACCAAAATTGAAAAACGTGAATTGGCTGAGCCCTTAAAAGTTCAACTGGCTCAAAACAGTCCTGAGTAGGAGTTGACAGTACTCTAAAGGACCTCCTAATCTGAGCACGGAATACAATGTAACTAAAAATAAGGAGTAGGGGATGTCGAAGAAACTGGAGAAAACAGAAAGGTACAGGCTCGCGGACGGTTACAAAATGCTCTACTAGTATGCAAGGCAACCCGCCAGTCCCTCCGCCCCTTTCTCTTCCCCCACCCAAGCTTCAGGAGAAGCGCGCAAGCGCAGCAAGAAGGGGCAGCGCGTGGCGACGCGCAGGCGTAAAGTGGGGAGAAACAATGAGCTTTGTGGCCGAGGCGGCAGCGGGGGGCAGGGGAAAAGGGTACCGGAGGGGGGGGTGAAGGGACTGCGGTGGGGGTGGGGGCTCGCGAGAAAGTGCTATCCCGGCAACCATCGCGCGCCACTGAGGACCCGGATAGAGAGCTGCGAGATCCAAATCATAAATAATAATGACAATGAGAAAAAAAAGTGACGGCCATTTCTCAAAGAATAAAGAGACTAAATCGGTCCAAGATCATCTCTCAGACTCAACTGGAAGAGGCAAGGAACCACGGGGCCCATATGGGCTTGGTGGCCAACGACCCAGGGGACCCTCTAGGCCCCTCAGCCGTCGCCGAGGTGGTGTCCCTCGACCGCCGGGGCCGCCGCACCCTTCTCGCCGCTCCGCCCGAGGGAACCCCTCACCCAGTGCACGGCAGCGGGGACGGCAGCCAACGAATCCGGTCGGCCTCCGCGGATCTCCACAGGCAGCGCCGCTCCCCCGCTCGACGCGCGCTTCGCCCGCAGCCTCCCTTCTCCAGTCCAAACAAACACCCCAGCCCGGAAGTGACTTCACTTCCGCCGCTGCCTCCGGCCCCGCCTCTCGTCCTATCTGCGCTGCCCCCCGAGTCCACCAGAGAGCGCGCGCGAGAGAAAGGGCGACCCCCAAAGTTCTTGTCGCCAAAGCGGCACACTTGTGCATGCGCACAGGCCTTTCCTCCGTACCCTCGTGACCGCGGGGAACGCTGGGAGTGCTGTCACGTTTTCTTAGGAAAACCGGAGTGGAGCTGGGCCGGTGTCCCCACACGCGCCCATTCTTCAAGAATGATGGGATGCAGTGAGTGGGGGAGCTAGGAAGGAGACCCAGACAAGATACACAGACGTGGACTATTACACACCTCAACAGTTACCTCAAACACACTGACATCAAATAGGAACATCTAGATAACGAGAGTGCAGTCACACAGCCAGACACACACACCCACCAAACGTGATACACAGCGTCACACTATGAGTGACACGTACCAAATCATATCCAGAGATCCTGACACAGAAAACATAACAGAAATAATAAACTAAGACAAATTCACAGAGGCATATTACACAAGCACCTGCACTCATGCACGTCCAGGTACACCCTTTTCGAACCCAGATCTCACCACCACTATCCAGACATAGCATGAAAACGTGAAAGTACCCTTGGCCAATCAGGCTTTTTCAACCACAATGGTGAACTCAGTGTGAGCTGGGAATTGAGATCTATAACCCCCTTTCGAAGTTACAAAGGAAATAGTCTGTTCAGAGGTAAGACAGAAGGGTGAGAGTTAAGGGTCCAATAATTTTCCTCCTCCATGATCTCGGATGCGCTGCCCGCCATACATTAATCCATGCTTCCTTGCTTCCTCATTGGCAAGTCCTATGTATGTTTTTAGTGATACTAATTCAAGGTACAGTTATAGTATGTGTAATATACATTTGAAAGGGGACACACGAAAACTTCTTCCCCCTGGGGAAGTAAAATGAGGGACTGACATTTATCTTTTTACTCTCTTGTAAACCTTGAATCTTAAAAAATCAAGCTTTTCTATCTGCTAAAACTGAAGACAAAAAAAAAAAAAAAAAGCTCCCTCCATGGAAGTCCTGAATCCGAGCTCGCTTCTCTCTCCCTAGGGCCATTTTCATTCATTAAAAATCTTTGAGTCAGCCCAAAGCTCCAAAGAAATAAAATGTGGTGGTTACCCCTCAGTCAACCACATTGACCACATTTGCAAATCTGTATCCTAAACCGACTAAGGTCTCTGTGTGGATCACAACAAACTGTGGAAAATTCTTAGAGAGGGGAATACCAGACCACCTTACCTGTCTCCTGAGAAACCTGTGTGCTGGTCAAGAAGCAACATTTAATAGAGCCAGACAGGGAAAGACCAACTGGTTCGAAAGGAAAGGAGAACAAGGCTGTATATTGTCAACCTACTTATTTAACTTATATGCAGAGTACATCATGCAAAATGCTGGGCTGGATGAATCACAAGCTGGAATCAACACTGCTGCGAGAAATAATAAAAAACAAAACCAAAAAGATTGCTGGGAGAAACATCAATAACCTCAGATATGCAGGTAATACCACTCTAATGGCAGAAAGTGAAGAGGAACTAAAGAGCCTCTTGATGAAGGAGAAAGAGGGAAAAAACTGGCTTGAAACTCAACATTAAAAAAAAGCTAAGATCAGGGACTTCCTTGTGGTCCAGTGGCTGGGGGCTTCATACTCCCAAAGGAGAGGGCCCAAGTTTGATCCCTAGTCAAGCAACTAGATTCCACATGCCCCAACTAAGACACCTTGCAGTCACAATAAATTAAAAACAAAAAAACAAACTAAGATCATGGCATCCAGGTCCCATCACTTCATGGCAGACAGAAGGGGGAAAAGTGGAAGCAGTGACAGATATTTTCTTGGGCTCAAAAATCATTGTGGAAGGTGACTGTAGCCATGAAATTTAAAAAGATGCTTGCAAAAAATAATAAAAAAAGATGCTTGCTCTTTGGAAGGGAAGCTATTACAAACCTAGACAGCATATTATAAAGCAGAGACATCACTTTGCTGACAAAGGTCCATACAGTCAAACTATGATTTTTCCAGTAGTCATGTATGGACATGAGAATTGGACCATAAAGGCTAAGTGCCGAAGAATTGATGCTTTAAAACTGTGGTGCTGGAGAAGACTCTTGAGAGTCCCTTGGACTGCAAGATCAAGGCAGTCAACTCAGAGGAAAATCAACCCTGAATTTTAATTGGAAGGACTGATGCTGAGGCTGAAGCTCCAATACTTTGTCCATCTGATGGGAAGAGCAGACTCACGGGAAAATAACCCAACGCTGGGAATGAAAGAAGGCAAAAGAAGGGGGCTGCAGCAGGTGAAATGGGTAGATAGCATCATTGTTCATGAATTTGAGCAAACTTCAGAGATAGCGGAGGGCAGCGGAGCCTGGTGTGCTGCAGACCATGGCGTAGCACAGTTGGACATGACTTAGCGATTGAACAATCCTAAACCAGGGAAAAAGGGCTTGGCTTTCTTGCCTGCTGAACCAACAGCTCTGGGGAAGAAGATGTTTTACTGGTTTATGGAGTATGATTAATTCAAGGAACCTGGAAGGTATACCTTATTTATCAACTCGAGGCTAGAAGAGGCATGAACAGAGGGAGTATAAAACCAAAATATTAATCTGTATTATCATTTATAATCTGTAGATGCTGTCTGGATGGTGGTGATGATGATCTGATTGGAAAAGTGTCACAAAAAGGAAGGCTATTGTTTGCCAGTGATAAGACATTGCAATACAGATGTCCAGAGTTTTAAAATGCTACAGAAATTCTTGTACAGTTTAGTCGTGTCCAACTCTTTGCGACCCCATGAACCGCGGCACACCAGGCCTCCTTGTCCATCACCAACTCCTGGAATCCACCCAAACCCATGTCCATTGTATTGGTGATGCCATCCAAACATCTCATCCTGTCATCCCCTTTTCCTGCCCTCAATCTTCCCCAGCATCAGGGTCTTTCCCAATGAGTCAGCTCTTCTCATCAGGTGGCCAAAGTACTGGAGTTTCAGGTTCAACATCAGTCCTTCCAATGAACACCCAGGACTGATCTCCTTTAGGATGGACTGGTTGGATCTCCTTGCAGTCCAAGGGACTCTCAAGTCTTCTCCAACACCACAGGCACCAATAATTCTAACTTGAGATGGAAGGTGAAGTAGGATGCAGGAATCAGGAGAGGATGGTTATGAAGGCACAGGATGGTTATGAACAGGCTCTCACTCTTGTTTTCATCAAATGTAAAAATATGTAAATCTTCTGTCTCAAACACTCCATGTATATATGAAATTGGAAAGATGTAAAGATAAGGATACTCATAGCTGTTAAGTCAAAATGGAAAAGCCTATCAATAGGGAATTGGTTAAATGAATTATGGTTAACAGAATGTTATTTTTAAATGGCTAGGATAGTGTCTTTTGTGTATGAAAACAAAAACTGACCTGACTTATAAAGGTCAAATTTGCAGTAAGTATATATAGGCAAAGGTTTTTTTAAAAAAAGGGTGATATGCACCTAGATGTGCAGAATATAAGGGCAGAAGAAATTCCCCTTTTGCAGTGTCAAGCCCTTCCTTGCTGGTTTTGCACAGCTTAGCTACTTACCATGAAATGGATCAGACATAACTTGTGCTTGTGAGCAGAATTAGCCACAATTAGGAAAATGAAGTTAGGTTTTCACTAGTTTTTATCATCTACTACACTAACGACCATTTCAACTCCAATTCCTTTCCACAAGTTTTTTATCCCAGAGCAGATTAAGTGCACACACACAGCATAAATTGATGTCTTCCCGATACAAGTGGAGGGGGAGGTATACATATAAAGACAACTTGGCAGTTGCCAAGGAAGTAGCTGATGAAAATGATTTAACAACCCTGGCAAAACAAATAGGAATTGGTCCTACTTTTGACAGTCAGGTGCAATGAGTGAAATTGGAGTATTCTGTCCTTGTCAAATGTAGGACACTCCTGTTGCTCTTGGTATATTCCATTTGGATCAGGTAATTAAACCTGTATACGAATGGTGCAGCATATAAAGCACAATAAGATGGTTCAAAGATATTAAACCTGTATTTAATGGCTACAATTTTTACTGTTAAGTTTCTTACTGGTGTGAACACCATTTGTTTTTTCTCTACTATATATAAAAGACTGCCCCCCGCTTCCTCTGAATTTTCATGTTCCCTATTGTGCATTTGGCTTTACAGAATTCTTAAAATGTATGGAAATTAGAAGGCCAGGGTTAAAGGCTTTAATAAATGTCAATACAGCCTTTTAAAAATTAATCATAGATTATCTAACAGTTCTCATGTGGAATTTTCTTCAACCTATTATCTCCTGATATCTTCACATTTTTTCCTAATAGCTAGTACCTTAATTGAGCTCTAGCTTCTATCAACTATAGTAATTCAGTAAGTTATATCTGGAGTGAACAGTATCTACTTCCAATTTTCCATTCACTTAAAACTTCAGTAAATTAGCTGTTCATTTTATTAATGTCCCAAGCTAAAGGTTTCATCACAGAAAGCAGTATTGAGGGCTCTGAAATGGGTGTCTCCCACTTATAACTTTAAAAAATGCTTCATGAGGGATCCCAAATATTCTTTTTCAACATTTCCCTTACCTTTAGTACAGTAGCAAAACCTTCAAGCAATAGTATCTAAATCAGGCATCAGACCACAAGTGCCTAGCAGTACACTTCAGCTATAGGTAAATCAATCATTCTCTAAAGGGTGGACTCTATCCTTGACATCACCATCACCTGGGTAATTTTTGGAAAGATGCAAATTAAAATCAACCCTACACTCAGTAAATCAGAAATTCTAGGAACAGGGTCCAGTAATGTTTAAAATGAAGTTTCCAAGTAATTCTGCTACATGCTAACATTTGAGAATTAGTCTTAATTCACAGAAGCATTTTGTTTGTACACCATGTCTTACACCTGACACGCAAAGGATGTGCATCAGATTGGAGAAGCACTTTAACTCCAGCTTAACAAACAGCTTAGCTCAGGGTCCTGGTTGGAGAAAACCTCAAATGTATTACCACCCAACAGTTGATCTTTAGGCTATCCTAGGCCATATTCCATGGAAGCCAATACAGAAGAGTACAGACCCGCTCACTCCTAGCCTTCCTAGCCTTTGCATGTATTATCCTAACCAAACTGTGTATACCAATTTTGTCTGATTTAAAAATATAATACGCAGCATTCCTCTACAGATTTCCACTACATACAAGCCTCTTTCGTCACAATTTTTACTCATGTCATCTTCCAGTTCAAAGCCACTAAAAGTACACTGTGAACAGTCAGGCAAAAAAAATGTATATTCTTCTGTTTTTATAACCTAACGCTGCCATACTACTTAATAGCGTGTATGTATGTCCTTTTCACCCTAAAGTGAGAGTCCCTCAGTCATGTCCAACTCAGTCCATGTTGTGACCCCATGGTCACAACATACATCTATGGAATTCTCCAGGCCAGAACACTGCAGTGGGTAGAGCTGTTCCCTTCTCCAGGGGATCTTCCCAACCCAGGGACTGAATCCCAGTCTCCCACATTGCAGGCAGATTCTTTATCAGCTGAGCCACCAGAGAAGCCCAAGAATACTGGAGTGGGTAGCCTATCCCCTCTCCAGTGGATCTTCCTGACCCAGGAATCGAATCGCACTGCAGGTGTATTCTTTACCAGCTGAGTTACCATGGAAGCCCTTTCACCCTAAGAAAAAGGGGTAAAAGAATTCAGAGGCTGGATATAAGCTTTAAAAGTTCCTTATAATCTATACCATATAAAAATCTCTAGAAGTACTTATTTGGTACTCAATAGCCAGAAATTCACATTCCTCATTTACAATTCTAAACAAAATTATTGGGTTGGTAAGATCTTATGAAAAACCTGAACGAACTTTTTGGTCAACCAAGTGTTTTTAGGATACACACTACTACACCTAGCCAACTTAAGCCTTACCAGAGTCATTCTCACAGGCCGTATTTATTAGCAATGATAAAATAAAACTGTAAAACAAACATCAAGTTTCCTTCACTCAGGATTAACATCTATTTTAAACTAAAAACTAAAATGGGAGTGGGAAAATTTCCTACTTTATAGTTGGTTATGTGAAAAACATTCCTGTTAAATAAAGGTTTGTCATAATCTGGGAAATAGCTGTTAGAGGTTTATTCATCATTAGCAAATTATGAGAATTTCTACTTTCCAAACCCTAGCAAATGAAGATATTAAATATTCTTTTCTACACCTTGGTATATCTAACAAAGCAGGACCTATGAAAAAAGTTGACAAAAAACAAGGGATTCCATTGTACACAAAATGCTTTGTATAGCTACTGTTAGTTAAACAGTTCGAATTAAAAGTTGGTAATTAGTAAAGGTCAAAATTAAACTGAAGTAAACTGGCAAGGATTTTTTGTGCATGTTACATTAAAGTGTCATTTTCCCCTCAGTGTTAGATCATAAAATTTCTTCCATTTGATACATCCTTTAATAGATCTAAGTGGTTCAAAGAGAATCCCTTAAATTCTTTTTAAATTAAAAATTTGCTTGACAATAATCTTTTAAATCAATTACCCCAACATATTTTGAAAGGCTGATAGAACTAATTCTTGTTATTCCATGTTATTTCCAAGTTTATTGTTAACACTTAGACATGTCTAAACATGAGCTTTTGTCATTTGTCACCCTTAGCATTTTGAACTCCTAAGGTCTGAAAAAACTAGTCCAATTTTTAGTTATGTAACAGGAACAAGAAATCCACCAGCACCAAAAGCTTTAAAACTCAGATTTTTAGTAGTAGTTTTTAGAACACTCTAGATTAAAAATGGAATAATTTGTTAAAGCATGCAAGAAAGTGTAACAGTAAATAAAAACCACAACTGTGACAAATATATTGGTTAACACCTCAAACATGTATAACCAATGAACATGGCCTAAGTTTTTGTTTTTTATTGGTACTCACTTAAGAAACTTGAATCCACAGATATAAGCAGTATATAACCAGAAAGTTACAAGTAAACACAGATTATACATGCAAATTTCTGTTCACAAAGGTCACATATGCAAGTATATGAATTAGAAGCGTGCGTCTAAGATTATGGCCAAACTTTTTAAAATGCAGAAATGTAAAATTACATCTTGAAAATACAAAGAGATGGTCTACACACTTCAAAAATCAAATGTTGCTTATACCAGATGATGTATGACAGCTACAGGATTCAAGTGACAAGCAATAAGATCTCAAGAAATTAATACTGGTCAAAGAGAAGGGGAATATTTTTACATTTCACTGAAAATACATTGACTTCTAGAATATGAAATCTAGCAGGAACTTGGGGGAAAAATTACAAAATCTAAAGCCAATTACTTAATATTTCTTATTACCTAAACAACAACATGACATTGAAAGAAAACTGCACCTGCATTTTAATTACCAATCTCACATTAGTGAAGTTCTCCAAAAATGAAACAAAACCAAAAATGCTTCAAACTCCAAATGAAAAGTCTGCAAGGCTCAGATTAAAATGTGGAATGTTTCAGATGAAAGTAATAAAAATACAATTGGTTTTGTTCTTTATTGAATGGATCAAAAGTTTTGACATATCTTTGAAGCTTGGAACTACTCAATTTCATCTCTCTGAATGCTTCTACATATCCTTCTTAGTGGTGCAAGTGTCTTTAGCATACGAAGTCAGTCTCTACAAAGTATTTCTGTCTGTTACCATTTTGATAAAACAAAAACAATTCTTCATTAACTTAACCGTATATGTATTTTTGCTATAACACTTAACACATGAACAGACATCTACTATCTATTATTTTTCCACTAAAACAAAAGAGTACAATAGTTTTCTTCTAACTATCAGTATTGTATTTAAAAAAGGTTAACATTTAAAAACAAAGAACCATTATTTTCTTTGAAATCATTAAGCTTCTTGCACATCTCAAACTTCCTTCTTCTGCCTGCGTTCCTCTGCCAATTTATTCAGAAATTTCTGAAAAGAAAAGAAAAGGTTACAAGGATTAAGTCACCTTAGTGAAAAATAACAAATGGATTAACTACAAAACAAAATATTCTAATTGAAGTTTAGGGACCTCAGTCTAATTTAACTATAACCTTGTCAATATTTGTATGATCCAGTTACTCTTATCAAGCAGGTATAAAACTAAACTGGACACCACAGTAAGGCATGGGAAAAGAAACAGTAAAATATGAAAAAGTTACTTCAATGTGCAATTAAGACTAACTTACAAAGATGAGAAAACAAAGACCAAAATACGCACATAGAATAACTGCTGCTACCCCCAAGAACTTAAGATTAGTTAAATGACATGTATTTAATTCAATGCCCCTTCTTCTAAGACAAAAGGAAAAAATATTATTAAATTTCTGCTACCACTGAAAATAACCACTGCCCTTAATACTCTAGCAGCTTTATATTATAAATCAGTATCATCTTTTTTAACTCCTACTTTCAAGTTCTCCCTCATCTATTTCAATACTTGGTCCTTAAGCCACTAACTAAAACACCAAACTTCGAAATATCCAAACAGAAATTTGTTATTCTTTATTATGTTGTGCTTTATTAATTTTTCCTTTTACCTGTATATCCTTTTGGTCATAAAACTTCACTGAAGTGTCATTATTAATAAAATAATAATTTAAAGTCAATGTAAAAATCATTAAGTATAAAGGGATATGGCACTTTAAAGTTGAAAAAGGCTTTGTAGTATTTCACTTGACTTTCAGGCCTCCAGTATTTTCCAAATTAGAGAAATTACAGTCTAATAATCATTTGAGAATACTCAAATAACTCTTAATTATACAACAGAATTTGTAATGTTTAAATCTATAAATTTTGAAATTATTGAATTATTTAGTTAAGAGTGTATTCTAGAAAGAGGTTTAGCAGATGTTTCCAGAGTTCATCAAACTGCTCAAGGCCCATCAATAAAGAATGTTATCAGGATAAAGCGTGCTGGGTCCACAGATGGTACTGGTCCATAAACTTACGTGACTTGTTAGTTTTCACAAAAGAACTCTCCTCTTTTAGATTCAGCCTTACCTTTAATTTCTGATAATGAGGAAGGCTGCTGCAATGAGTATTCTTTGCAACTTCTTCATTTGTATAAAAGAGTGAACACAGCTTACAGTAAAACCCTGTTTTAGGAATCACATAGTCTATACCTAGAACACAAACATACATTCTTACAAATTCAGTAAACTGAAGGTTTTAATAGTGTTCTCAAATCTTTTTTTCCTGTCAATATAATTTGAATGAGTTAACAATTGTGACATGTCCAATATAGCCTACGCTAAAACAAAGCAAAAACCATGACATCGTTAATAGCTTGTACTTAATTGATGTTTAAGGGCCCACACCTAATTGTTCTCTTAAAAATGTTGAAATAGAACGGTGAACAAAACAAAAAGCAATGTGAAATTCTCAGAAAATTTTATGAGGAGAAAAAAGAACATATTATGGAATGGTAACAAAAAGAGGAAAAAAGAATGCTTCAAGTTAAGATTTACAAATTGTTCTACATAGAACTTCATGTTATCAGAGTTTATGTTAAGACCAATTTAAAAATATCTTATATTAAGAGTTTGGGGAGGGTGAGGGGGAATAACAAAGCCTTAAATCTCACCAACAGGAACATTGGGTTGATATGGTCCAATTCTATACTCATCTGGGATTGTATAGTCCTCCTTGTTTTCATCACTTTGGCCATCTGCGTTTTCACTTGTATCTTTGTTGGTATCATCAGCATTCTCAGCAGATTCAGCACCTGGCTCTGTATTTTCCTCATTTTTAATTCCATTTTCCAACGCTGCTTCATTTTCTTGGTCAAGTTCCTCGATCTTGTCCACCTTAATTTCAACCAAACCATCATCATTTTTGTCACCAGATTTAAATGCCATGCCCGATTTACGAAGTTTCTGAAGTTCCGAATCTTCCTCATCACCAACCTCATCTAGAGTGACAAAACCTTCCATATTCCCTGGGAAACGACGCTGTTAAGAAAGACAAATTTACTCTGCAACAATTATCCTGCAGTATCCCTTCCATTTGCTTTACTTGAAGGGAAAGGGATAGCGTCTTTGCCTTCATTTTCTCCAAAAAAAAAAAAAAAAAAGTGACTTTTCTTTCTCTCCCCCCAAATTTACTAGTCTCAAAAAAAAAAAAACTTAGCTTGTTTTAAAACTAAGTAATCCAAGGCTTCCCTTATAAAAGAGCAGAAAATAAATATGAGGACTTATTATGCTGTAAGATAATCAGAGAGCTGATTTCATGAAGTATCAATACGTTGAATGATGTCCTTTGAAGAAGGTATCTTATGGTGCAACTATTTTTATCACTGTGGTTTAAAAATCAAGCTCTGGAACATAACTGCTTAGATTTAATTTTTGGCTCTGCCACTTATAAGCAGTATGACCACAATCTACTTAATTTTAACATGACTCAATTTCCTCATTCATATATGGATAACAAGCATCTGTGGCATAAGATTATTTTAAGAATCAGTTAAGTAACACACACAAAGAGATTACGAAAATTAATGGCACATAATAAATGCTCAATAATTATCAGCTCTTAAGAGCACAAACATAGTACTACATAACTATCATCTATTTCAGCCAGAAAAAGAACCTCAAGGCTAACTTATTTGACCAAGCCATCAAAATTTAGAGGTAAATATTAAGTTTTCTGGTAGCTGAGTATATCTTAGAAGGAATGAATGAAAGAGGATTATAATAATCTCATTTCAAGACATTTACCTTATGGGGTTCTAAAGGCATTGTAAAGCTCTAATCTTTAATGGAGATAATCAAGTACACCATGGGTCTTCTGATTTACTATTCTTTTACCATGTATATATTTTTATACTGCTATTTGCCTTACTTTAATATGTGACATGTGTTCTAGGAAAAAATGTTTTAAAACCTATTAAGTATCTAATCAAGGTTACATTTCTATAATAGGAAAATTCCTTAAGTTCTATCATTTTTGACATAATGTTTTAAGTGTCCTGGGTCAGTCATCCCGGGTCAGGTCAGTTAACTTCCTGTAAAATCCATACCCCATGTTTAAAAAAACAAGCTGGACTATAATATAAAGGCTGCCTACTACTATTTACACACTACCACTACCAAACAGAATCATATATAGCTTTAAGTCTTTCTCCTTTGTTACTAAAAAATTCTCTGTGAACTGACATTTTTCTACTGCAGTTTAGTCCTATTCAATCTATGTATTGCAGAGTTTAGATTTCAATTTTTTTTAGTGATTCCTATATATTTCTTCCTAATATAAGTGACTAATTCTATTAAATGTGACCCTAAGATAAATAATTTGAAACACTGATCTAGTTTTCTACTGAAACAAGTCAACATAAAACCTTCTTTTACCTTTTTAAGCTTTTTCTTTGCAGCTCCAGAAGCACTGGCATTTGCATCTTTTTTCACAGCTTTGTCTGAAGGGTCTTTTTTCCCATCAGATGCCACATCCCCTAAATTAGCAAGATCTGTTTCATCTCCCACTGAACTGCCACTTTCTAGCAGTGCTGCTGCTTCTTCTTCATCTACAAGTAGCTCATCTTCAGACTCAAGAAGCATGTTAGGCTCTTGTTCTGCCTGGTCATCCTTTGTATCTTTTTCACCATCTTCACCTGACTTCTCTTCTTGTTCTTTACCTTCAGCAGTACTTTCAGTCTTCTGGGAACCATCTGTTTTGGATTTCTTATCACTTGGAGATTCTTTGCCATCTGGAGAGTAAGATCTTTTCCTGAAACCAAAACATACACCTGAATTAATTCTACTGAGTTGGAAAACAAAGGTTTAACATACTAGTGTATACAGAGACACACACACACACACACACACACAAAATGAATTACCGGGATTTATCTTTTTTGAGTAAGTCAATGCCTCTGTTGGGAATCTAAAAGACAAAATTTTGCCAGTTACATAAATGTATTCGATTTCGTATTTAATTACCCAGTTAACTAATAAACGATGACCATCCTTTATATATCAACTAACCTTATTTAAACCATACCTAAGACTGTAAGCTGCCTTAAAGTTATTAATTCATTATAACCAACATTTCAAGGGAAGTGAATAGTAAGTTTTTTGACAAAGCTTTTCAAATAAAACCTTAAGTAAAACAGATAAAAACAAAGATACTTTATACAGACATCAGTTTAAAAACTTCTGTATTAATGAAGACCAGAAAAAGAGAAAAGATTACTCTCTTTCAATAACTAAATCCTATATATGTATTAATTATTTACTTATTTCTGGTCATGCTGGGTCTTTGTTGCTGCGTTCTGGCTTTCTCCAGTTGCAGTGAGAGGGGTTACTCTTCGTTGAAGTGCTTGGACCTCTCACTGTTACAGAGCATGGCTACAGCGCGGCTCAGTAGCTGTGCACAGAAGGGATCTTCCCAGATCAGGGATTGAACCTGTGTCCCCCACACCACCAGGGAAGTTCCTAAATCCTATATTCTCAGCATGTAAAAATGTTAATAAAAATGTCATGGCTTGAAAAGCATGAAAATAAGCTTTATAAAGAAACTGAATCAAACACTACATACCCTGAGTACCAATTTTTTGTATTTTTCAGACAGGTCAACTTTTACACATCTCCCTTGAAACCAAAGGGCCTTTTTCAAACAGTGGTCAACCATTGCCATTGCATCTTCTCTGGTCTCCATCTCAATAAAGGCCTGGGGCAAGAAAAAAAAGAACAAAAAATTAATTAAAAAGTAAAAGTTTGGAAGGATACTCATGAAGCTACAAAAAGGCTAACAAAGAAAAGATGCTCTACTTACCATTAATTTTAAAAATGAAATATAAATATGAAATAACTCAATCCATCTATTAATTAAATTCACATCATTTTGAAAAGTCTGTAATATCCAGTGTTTATAAAGCTCTTACAATGCTAGTATGATTGTATACGAGTACTATTTTTTGAAGAGCATTTGGCACCGCCAAAGAAAAGAAATCAAGTATCAGGATCCACAACTTCAATTCTGAAATTGTATCCTTCAATTATATGCATAAATTCACATGCCACAAAATCCACAGCAGCATTAATGGCACAGCCAAAAAACTAGCATCTCTAATATCCATTAATTAAAGAAATTAAATTCATCACAGTTTACTCAATGGAATCATGTGTGAAGTGGAAAGTAAGTTTATTATAATCCCATTTGAAGTAAAGGGGGAAAGTATACTTATACACACAAAGGAAGATCTCTGGAAGCAAACTCTGGAAATATTAGCCAAACTAGAGAAAAAGATCTTTACTTTCCACTTTATTTTCTCAATATTCTTGAATATCTACTATGACTTTATAAGAAAGAACCAATCCACTTTGGCCGCCAAATTACTCTCCCACCCCCTCACTAAAAATGAGGATGTTATAAAACAAAAACTTAAAAAACTTTGAGAAATAATCTTTTTCAAAACTTCTACATGTATATTACCTGACTTTTCATCCTCATCAATATATAATTCTTTATTTTCCCATAAGGCTCAGCAAGCTTGAGGACAGCACTGTCAGAATAGCCAGAATGAGGTAAGTTGCTGAGATGTATCACCCGTCCAAGCTCTTGTTTTTGATCAAACTTCTGGTCTGGCTTCCCTTCAGGTTTCTTTAATACACAGGAGGGAAAAAACAAAACAAAACAGAGGAAATCAAATGTTAGTATGTCACAATTATTAGTCAAGATTATCCTAGATATTAGCAACAATTTTAAATAGCTATAAGTTAGTAAATAGTAAAATGAATACATTAAATAACTGGTGATACCAATCTGGAAAAATAGAGATTATTACCTTTATTCTCTTATACTTCTGGGATAAATGAACTCTCACTGGCTTGCCAAATACTAATGCTGGGGTGGTTGTATAATAATCCACTGCAGCCTGAGCATCTTCTGTGGTTGCCATTTCAATAAATGCCTAAAATTAAAAAATACATGTATTAACATTTCCAAAAAAACAACCCAATTCCACACTGTCCAAAGTCTTTCCAAAAATATTTAATCATTAAATAGAAAGCATTTTCAAGAACCTGAGAAAAAAATAAAATCTCTAATTTCCTATTTTATTAAAGATCATCTCAGACTTTATTACTTTCACGACACTATCATTTATTATGCCTACTGAATTTGAAACAATAATTTGGCACCATTTGGGCAGAAGTTTGAAATGTTTTTCCAAATAATTATGTTTCTATAGTTTTTACTATAGCAGTAGTATAATAAAGACAATGTAACTGCTTAAGAATCCCAATTTCTAAAGTTACGAACAATCTATTAGTGCTAGAATTTATTATTGATTAGCTCGACTATTGGCCCTTTCCATCATTACATCCCACATTGATGATTTAAGCTAACGTTCTTTTTTCTAATACAAAATAATGTATTCTCTTTAGGATATACTTTAGTGATGAATAAATACTACACACTTAATTCATACCTCATTAATTTTATTTAGAATAAGATGATTTGAAATAACTCCAAATGGTTCCACCAGTTGTAACAGTTGATATCTCAAGTTTTTCCCTCGCTGGAAATCCATGATGTGAACAACTCGGCTAGTTTCCTATTCATTAGTAAAAATCCAAGTTAGTAAATAAATTTCTTTAGAAGCAATACAAAACAGTAAAATATTAAATCTTTTATAATCTACAGTCAATCAGAACAAATTAAGCAAGTATTTAAAACAGGTCACTGGGACAAGCCTCATAGTTTCAGAAAAATGTCTGCACTAATATTTAAATCAACTACTGTTATGTAATTAGATGGCAAACTTAACTATGAATCAAGGTGAAATCTCTGGACTGTGGACATATGAAAATGAAGTTTTAACTCTTATCAGAACCACATATAAAGCCTACTGGTTTTCAAACTAAAGAAATCTTTCTATAATAAGGACAACAGATTCAATTAGCAAGAATTCAAGTCAAATTACGTTTCCCCAAAGAACTAATAAACACAGCTAATACAGTAAAAGCAAGAGCTTTATTACTGACCACTCTGCCTTTCTGCATGTGTCTTGGTCCTTGCAGGTTTCCATTTCCAGCACCTTTATGGGGAAAAAAAGTAATTTAAGTATACTTGCCCTACCAGGTTATTTTAAATGAAAAACAGACATCTCTCCAACAGCAAAAGGACATTACAAATATATGTGATCATGTATTCTCATGAAATGTCATCTTTGAGTTACATTTCAATGACACTTCTTTTGCCTAAAATCATTGCATTTAATCTTTATGATAAAAGCTCTTTAGGGAAAGGTAACATGAATTTCATAATCACCCAGATTTCCTCTTGGTCCAACTGCTGGTCCCCCAAGATGAAATGATGGGGGTGGAGGTCCCAGAATTCCCGGGGCTGGGTTTGTAGATTGCTGCAACATGAATGGATCACCCCTGGGAATGTGAAAACATAAAACACAAAGTATGAGAAAGAGGTCCATCAAAAATAACTAAAATTTACTGCTAAACATTCCTTGTGTGACTATGATTTCAATATTTGGGGGCATTTATGCATGAAGTTACTAGGGGAAAATCTATAATAAAAAAATAAAAATTACTACATAAAATAGTTTCTAAAAACTATTTCACCCATGGTGACTTTTAACAAACTCATATTAAATAAAGAAATTAAGAAAATATTGTTAAGAAATGTGAAAAATTTAACCTGAATTCCTTACATTGATCTCCTTTACAAACAACAGCTTAAAAAATTTAACTTACATTGTGTGTCCTGTATCAGTATCAGGATTCCATTCTGGGTAGCTTTAAAAAGATCAGAAAATTAACTTTAAAATAAAACTGCTCTTTTCACAAAGTAGCCTTGTTTGGCCTTTAAAATAGATTTATTAGTAAAGTTATACAGCAGTGTAAGTGTTAGAAATATTAACAGTTTAAAACATGTCATACAGATACTTCCAAAGGAAAATTTCAAATTAATCCAAATGAAGGAGAATTAACTTGTTCTGTACTGCTTAAAAATGTTAAGTAATGTAAATTGCAATTAAAATACTCCTTTATCTTTTTTTTTTTTGGTGGTGGGGGGGGTGGTGTCAGGAAGGGTCACACGACTTGTGGGATCTTAGTTCCCTGACCAAAGATTGAACCCTGCCTGGCCCATGGCACTGAAAAAGTGCATGGAGTCCTAACCTAACTAAGCCTCCAGGCATTCCCTATATTTGTTAATTCACAAAGAGAAGAAGTGCTATATGAGGGAATGGAAATGTGGGTTATTTAGGGAAATAAAGATTGACCACAGATTTTTTTTTCCTCCAACATTAAAAACAAAGAGCAGCGCTGAGTTCTGGCACTAGACAGAAAGGATAGCCATAGCACAGTGTATGTGAAAATGGCCACCCCAGTAAACAATGGGTTTCATGTTGTTTAGTTAGGGAGATTCTTTACAAATTCTATTCTAGCAGCTTAAACTCCAGCACAAGTGTCTCAAAAGCAAAAAATACATCCTGAAGGGTTTTGCTTGAAAACTTGTTACTTCTAGTATAACTTCCTCCTTTTCTTTAAGGAAAATAAGTATTTTCTTTTTTCTTAGAGCACATATTATTGTTACTGAAAATGCTCTTATGAATCTATTGTATGTATCAATGGCGATCTTCAGGTCTCTTAAAAATTCTTTCAATTTCAAATAACAAAGTACCACTACCACTCCATCTAATATTCCATGTGCAATTCCAGACCTAAACGTTGTTGGACAGTGTCAACTATTCAGTAATAACAATGTGGATATTACAAGTAAAGGATGAATTCCCCGAAACCAATCAATGGCTGTTTCTGACACAGTTAACTGATGCTTTAAAGGTATTTCAAACTCCTACATTTCAAGAAGAAGCTGGCATCGACGACTGTGACTTGCTCCATTGATATGTTGACTCCACTCCTGTAGCAAAGTAAATTAGTAGAATTAACAAAACTAAGATTTCTTTTCAACCATTCAAACTCTAGGATGTTAATCTATATGTCTATATGCAATTATCATAAACTGAACACCTGACCAGTCACTAATCACACTTATTTAAAACCATTTCTCTGAATCCTTGAAGCTTCATCCTGCCCTCAAATACGCCATGCACATTCTTGGAAAAACTGGTAACTTGGTTAACAAACTAACAGACCTGACAGGGAAAAGATAAGAGTTAATAAAGATGAAGAGTAGTAACTGACTTTGAGATCAGTAGGCATATTAATTTCTGCTGTAGACAAAACTGAAGTTTTATTCACATATTATTAGAATTGCTTTCACAGAACTCTGATAAAATATCCATGCTTATATCACTTTTTAAGAAAATGTATAATGTAAGTATGAATAATTAGTTAAAAATAGTATCTTTAATTTCATCCAGCCTTTGAGGTATGTTCCAAGTGTACTATAGCCACAGAAAGCGAAGTTGATTCAACAGGAGTGACTTTTCTAGGAAACACTCCCCAATTTATCGAAAAACCTAAGCTCCCATTGTATTTCCCAAAATTAGGTAAGTAAATTTCAGGAATGTCCATTTCTAAATTTTAGGAAGGAAAACATTTTATTTCTTCAATATTTGCTTTATGATTATTTTAAATTTTGAAGGGATTACCTTTTCCTTTACTTTATCCAAATAAACTATCCTTTCTTTAAAAATCCACATGTAAATGATTAGCATTTTAGGCAATATAAGAGGAGGAGTTAGGAAAAGTAGGCTTTGCTGCCAGACTGCTTAGGTTCAATTCCCAAGGTACCACTTACTAGATGTGAATCCTTGGTACAAGTTATTTAAAAACACTGTGGTTCAGTATCTTTCTAGGGTTTTGTGGAAAGTAAATGAGTAATAAAGGTAACCTGTTTATTGGAACATTGCCAGGCACATAAGAAGTGCTAATAATAAGAAACTTTTTAATTAAAAAGGAAGAAAAGCAACTATTGTTACACTGCTTATAAAGCTATCTTGTTTTACAATCCCCACTTTACAAGTATTATTGTTTCACAAATCCTCACAAAATAAGGCAACTTTTCCAAGACTCATACTACCTGAAACATTAGAAAGTCCTTAAGAGGGAATCTCACTTAGAGCTGAATTAAAGGAACCAAATTACAAGAGATACCATTCTGAAGTTTTAAAAAGTTAATTTATAAATGGAATCTAATTTTTAAAAACCTACAGCTTGAGTGTTTACACACATTTCTTTGCCCTACTAAAATTAACTGAAATTCTGTGAATGAGGTAAAATGGAACATTTCAACAGAATGGTACTGCTAAGAACTTGGGGAGCTATCTTTCAAAGTCAGACTGTCTTTATGGCTAACAGTTAAGGAACTGGAAGAGATCTGTCCAGCTGGCTCTATAACCAAATGTTTGGGGTATAAAAACTTTCTATTTGCAAAGCAACAGACCACTGATTTGTTGGAAGCCACTTTAAAAATGGCTGTAATCAAGAGGCACCACAGGCAAAGTTCACAAAATTCAGAAGCAGGATTAAACAAATATGTTAACCAAGAATTTTCTTAAAGCAAGCTATTCAGATTTAAAATATCCTTGAGAAACAGTGTGTTCAGAGAGGAGTAAAAGTTACCCTATTAGGCATGCTTCTAATTAATAGGAGATGGTAAGACTATCAGTAGACCAGAAGTTATTTATATCCAATCCCCCATGATCTTTAAGGGCTCAAACTTTTGAAAGTGTGGCTGGTCTTACAAAGTACTAGAAGGAAAACCAAGATCAAAGAATCAGTTACACCTCCCAAACCCACCATTACTACTCTGCTCTACCATAATGGGTTTTTAAAAAAATCTGTATCCTTGGATTCTACATTGAGGCAACACTCAGATTAATAAAGAATAAGGATTCACTTTTTGAATTCAAAAGTTCTGCAGGAAAAACTACATTCACCTTAATGTCATTGAGATACCTAAATTATATAAAGAAAGGATAATTTGGAAAAGCACATGTGGAATGGCAAAATGAAGTTAAGAATAACTTAAGGGCTTCTAGAAAACTAAAAAGAAAAACATGAACTGAAGTGACAAGACAGCAGAAGGGCTGTAGTGGCCAGTTTTCTTTAAGTGAAAGGAATTTTGAGGCAAGTTTGAGGCTGTGTAGAAAAGCAACTTGACGTTCTAAAATGACCTAGAAAGAAATAAAAGCAACATCATCACTGAAAGTTACTTAAAATATTAAAAATAATGTCAGATGTTTTTCCCCTAAAAGACTATTCATAGTAAGAAGAAGTTTTGATCATGTAAGTTATTTAATGTTACCACTAAGTGAAAAGAACAGATTTTCCAAGTTATGCAGCAATACCAGAGAGCAGGATTAAATGTTTTAAAAATTTTCATTATCTACTTTCACAAGAATTTTCTCTAAACTCAGTGATTCTATATCAGCTATAAATTAAAAAGATCCCTACCAAAAGTGAGCATTTATTTTTTCAATAATGAAGACACCTAGAAAACATTAGCTATGTTAAGGTAACTATATTAAGAGAATCCAGGTGTTAAAACTTCTTACAATCGGTACAATTTACAAATACCACAGATTTTGAAAATCAAAGGGCCTCTAAAGTAACTGTTTCTAAATTTGCTAGAGTACATGCATTTTTGCAGATTAAAAGTATCTCTTTACTAGGTAAGGTGCCTTACTCTTGAATCCAAAGTTTCAAATATTCAAAAATGTTCTTTGGCCAATTTAGATCCATTTACTATCATTATTTATTAACTGTTCAGGAATTAGAAGGTAGTAACATCTGGATAGAAAATAATATACAAAAATAGAAACTTTTTCTGATTCAAGTCCTTCTTCATTTCCTTTTGTGTACCTTTACTAAAGAATTGTTTTCCTACATGTAAGTGGCAACATTAAGTTACTGCTCAAAGTCAGGATGAAGAGTCTTCCAACAGCAGCTTTTATTTTATGATGACTCCAGTAGCAAAGATTAAGTCCTTTAAGATCGTTTTCATTTGAGAAACTGTAACTAGCTATCTTCCTTGGAATTTAGAGAACCTGTCTGAGAATATTTCTCATACTGTCATTTCTGCAAGAAGGCAAGAAGTAAGAAAATATTTGGAGTCACCAAAATTTAATGGATCTTTTCATTAAATCATTTAATACCAGATCTAAACCTTGAAGTTGAATACTGAACAAAAACTAAATTCCATGATATACTAAGTGTATCCAGTACATCTGAAAAAAGACAACACCAAAATACCTACTAATACAATTCCCTAACTTTTACGAGTTTGTGGTTCCATGTCTTACACTAAAATTAATCCATGAATGTAAATTTACCATTTGAAATTATTTTGACATGGATTGAAGAATAAAATATTCCTTGTGTATTTAAACTATTACTTCAGAAGATTTTTGTACTACAGATATATATACATGTATTTTTAGCTAGAAATCACTCTTTAAAAAGATATTTTTAAAAATACTCTATAAATTCAAACAATGTAAGAAGTCTCTTAATTATCTGAGACAAAAAATTGAGATCTAAACACAGAAAAGGGATTGAATGGTAAGACTTTTAAAAAGATTAAAAACAAAATCTCTAATGACTTACATGATTTACTCAAAAATCAACTCACTTAAAAATGCATTTAAAGGGATAGATATGAAAAGAAAATGACCTTTCCAGATGTTACTGTGAAGAAAAAACCCTGTAATAGCAACCATCAAATCAGTTTCATGGCAGCAACATGTTCCAATTAAGTACAGCACATCAGGAAAAATGGATGGTCAGATTACAGATCAAGCTAGTGGACTGCTATAATGCTGACTTTAAGTCAACTGCACTGTATTTTGTTTTGGGATAAAAACAGTGCGAATGATTAGCATTGAAAACGTTGAAAGAGAAAGGACAATATATTTAAAAGGGCATTTTGAAAAAGTTCCCATTTTGCCAGATGTGATAATTAAAGCAAAGGAGAATTAGATTTTTTTTTTCTTCAAATGAATATACCAGAAGTCTAAGTCAGAAAAAGAATATGCTTATGAGGAACACAGAGCAGGATACTGCAGTAGGTGATTTTCCCAAGTCTCTAAAGGGATAGATGCAATATGGGATAATAAAAAGTGAGTTTTGAAGTATGTTTAAGAAAGTTGTGGAAAAGGAGAAAAAAAAATGATGAAAAATTTCAGTTACAGCATGAGAGTTTGTGTTAAAGGGAAATTAAAAAAGAAGAATGAACTAATCTAAAATATGAAATATACTGAAACAAACACCAGGGCTCTACATTAACTCTTTCCCTGTAGCCACAGATAAGGGAAAAAAGAGAATTGTTCAAGAATGTATCTTTACTACATACGAATCAGTAATTAAGACAGATGGAGAGCTGATTATCTAGCATCCTGAATGGCAGAGCACATTGACTGCAAAAAAACAGAAAAATACTTAAAACAGTTCAACAAAGCAGACAAAAAAACCTGCTTAAATATACAATTAAGAAGAACATATTGATGCCAAAAACCAACAAGATAATTCCAGTGGATGACAGCTTTGTGGCCAGAAGTAATCTATGCAGATTATATTAATGTAAAGCCCTGGTTTAAAATGCTCAAAAACAATTACCTTCCAAATAAAGTAAGTGTTCTCAAAAGTATAAAAATTCTTGATCAACTCAATGTCATCAGACTACGAATTCAGAGTACAAGATATAGGTAAATACAGAATAGGAACTACAACGTAAAAGAAATTAGAAGTATCTGTTGCATTAACTCACCTTATTAGAATGAACTGGCAAATCACATATAGAGCACAGATGGGGATAACCCTTCGGTAAGAGTCCATGGAAGTCTTCAATATTGCTACTTGGAGGAGCGCCCCTCTTTTTCTCAAAGAGAGATCTCTCTTGTAAGGGGCCAGGACCACGTCCCATTCTCTCATACTCACTGTCAAATTTATGATAGTTATGCGAGGTCTCACCAAAAAAAGAATCATCCCTACACCTTTCTCCATCTCTTAATCTGTCATCTTCATAATCCATTCTGTCATAATAACCAGATTCTTGAGAACGACTTCCATGGTCATAATCAAGCACTGGGTTGAGACTAGGACCACGATCATCAAAACTATCTCTTCTAAAGTGCCTTTTTTCTTCCCAATCGTCCCTAGGTACTCTGTATGGTGGCTCCCGTGTAGCAGATCTGCCATCTCTACCATAACTCAATGTAGGGCCTTCTTCAGTTCTCCTCCTTTTAAGCTGCAGAAGGATTTGGGGCAAATTCTCAGGAGTAATCTTGTCCTCTGGATAACGACTCAGTTCATCTAAGTCTCTAGCAGACAGACCAAAGCTGGCCAAAATGTTACTGGCCTGGTCTGCATCTCCACGGTGTTGAGAAGACAAAGGGAGCGGACCTCTACTTCCAATGTTAAATATAGACTGCAAATTATGGGAAGAAGTACTAGCAGAAGACAGTGCACTATGAGCTCCTTGTTGATTCAATGAAGAACTCATTCCAAGATTCATTAAACTAGCAAGGCGTGCAGTACCCTGGTTCATCCTTCCAAGAGATGCTGGCATACTTAAAGACTGGGTAGCAGCAGCAAGAAGGCCTATTCCTGCTGCAGACAGGTCACGCCCATGACCCTGCGAGTCCCTACCGAGAGATGACTGCTGGAATGACTTGGACATTGTAGAACTATCTCTTGTCTAGTTTATAGATTTAAAAAAAAAAAATTTTTTTTTTTAAGATGGCCAAAAAGAAAGCTCAACTAGAAAACTAGGTTAACTTTGCTTCAAAAAATGGTAACGCCAAGAAAAAGGATCAATAAGGACTGTAGAATCTTCTTCAAGCTGAGAACCAGCAGACAACTCTGTAGAAAAATAAGCAATTTTAGTCATAAATCCCTTTAAGTAGATGCAGTTTTTTTTTAGAAAAAAAAAAAAAAACTTATGCATCATGTTGATTTAAAAAAAAAAACATTTAAGATCTCAAACTTACAAGGAATTACATAACTTAAACAGATTTCAGATGTATGCAGAGCCTGCATATACTTAAAAAGTAGTCTTTCATGCTAAAGTTTAACTATTAAAGGGAATTTCATACTGAATTTAAAAACATTTCAATTGAAGGGTCAGATGTCTGAATATATCAAAATTTCAATAAAAATATAGATGGGTCTCTTCTTTTAGAAGAAAAATACACCCTATAATATGATGTTTAAGTTCCAGAAGACTAAAAACAGAACAAAAAAAACCAAGGTCAGCAAGTCAAAGATGAATCAGTTGTATTGTTTTAGAAAATGAGACCTATTAACACTATCAGAAAGAACCAAGTAAAATCACAAGTAACGAAGCTTAAGTGTCAAGTACCTAAAATAAGATCTAAGACCAAACACTACAGTTGAGATCTTTATGCAGCAAAATCAAATTGAGGTAAAGACAGATGTGAAGAAAAATAGGTGACTTCCTACAGTTTACAGATTTCCGCACAAATTTAAGCCAAATAATTAACTGCCTTATTCTCCATCTTCTATCAGGCAGTTGCTTATTTCATTTCTAATCTTAAAAGGTAAGGAGAATCAAATATGGTCAGTACAGAAACAGGAGACTCCCCAAGAACAACCACAAGTACAGGAAGTTTAGGTGATTTAAAGAAGTGAAACTCCCCAAGGTAGTAGCCATGAACATTCATTTAATGCTCAGAGCTATAACACCTCTAGAGTTCAAAACAGGTGAAAATGAAACGAGATCTTGCTTACTCAGATTTCTGTAAACATAGATTCTTTCACAAGAATAGCCCCATCATCCAGAAAATTTAAATTCTGAATACAATCCCTCAAGATGTGTTTCCTCCAAGATGTGATAGTAATGAAATTACTTTCATTTTTATTATTTTACCTCAAAAATTTTTACATAAGAATTCACAAAGCATTTACAAATGATCTCATAAAGTATTAAATGACGTACATAACTGTCCCTGGTGAAACAATTTTATAATCACAATTACACCCAGAAGTTAAATAAGTCTTAAATTATTTGCTACATAATTCTACTATGTAGAGGCACTGCTCAGTTAACTCATAAGTTTGATCACCCACATACCTAAGCACTTAGTTTAAAACATTAAACTTTATCAACATAAAAACCAGGCGATAATTAATAGTTACAAGTCAATTATGGGACCAACTCCACCAATGACAGATTAAAGTAAGAAAACATTGGACGAAAACAGCAGTAGAAGAAGTATAAAAAAAGTTGCAGGCAAGACTTAGATTTTACAAAAAGATGTAACAACGTTAAAAAGACACAGAAATGCTATCAGAGGTGACTGGAATTACAGATGTTTTTGCACACCAAGAAAGATGAATTTGAGAAAAGACACCAAAGAAACTAGTTCCAGATGAGATCCATTACGTAAACTACTTAGACCTTAAGATTAATAAAATAAAGATAAGAGTAAGTGAACATCATTGGATGAAGGATTCTCTGATATGACTTTTAAATACCACACAGAATGGTGGTTAAAATACTGTTGAAACATTTGTAGCACCCTCTTATGCTTTCATACGTCGTTTTTTAAAAAAAAAAAAACCCTCAAAACTATTAAGAGGGTTTTTTGAAATCAAAATTTCAAAGTATCTAAGTTACTATTAATTGCAGCTTTGCCCTTCATTTGGGAGTCAAAGCTTTGTATACTGAAAAGCCAGCCTTTCAAAAGAACTATTCTTTCCCTTTAGGGAAATTATACTATGGCATTATGATCATGTGTAAATTTTTAACATTGATATTTTAAGGAAATGATTGTTGAATTACAGAGATCTCAATTACTTTTCTTTGCAACATATATGAATGGTGGAGCTGCAAAAAGGAAAGGTTAAGAGAAGTAAAGGTAAAAGGTGATAACCTTAAGACAAAACAGAAAATGGATGTCAGAAAAACTAAGAAAAAGAGAAAGACAACCATGTAAATCCCATGACAACTTGTAATTTAAGAATAACTTTAATATTTTTGTGACTCAGTTTCAACTTCAGTCCCACACAAAGACATGAGAGTAGCAGTACTGAAAAAGAACTTAAGTCAAACTTTTGATTGAAACAGATTTCTTAAAAATTGTCTATTAGAACAAATAAAGAGAAAATCCAACAGGACAGCACTGATGCAAGAACATTTATTAAAAAGTTCCTTTAGTATCTCATTTTTGGTCAATGAACATAAGATGAACAAGGCACTTTAAAGGCTCCAAGTGAGACCTACTGACTATGAAACCATCACAATACTGAGAGTTACTAAGTTACTAAAGTGCTTTTTTTAAAAAAAAGATTAGCTTCTTTTACTGTATGTTTTTTCTCCATAAAGCTGCATTTTCACAGAGGTTAATAAAGTTTGAAAATAGTTCCTTTGAGATAACTAATCTAAAATGTAATGTTAAAATTCAATTTACCCATTTAACTTTATACAATACAGAATCTTTCACTCCCCCCCCAAAAAGTGTCTCCACCCTCCCCCATCAGAAAACATAAGAAAAGAAACTAAAAAAAAAAAAGAAACTAAGTTAGGTTCACAAATGCCATTTAACTATAGTCTGATAGTCTGATATTCAAATTGTCAATGAACAAAGTGCATGATATAAATTCTATTAAATATGTTAGCTTCACATTCAACATCTGAATACGCATGGTTAAGAAATAAGCTTCAGTTAATAATATTCAACACCCACATTCCACAAATATGATATCCTTTATTTTCTTCAATAATTAGAAGAAATGGAATACTAAAACATTTTAGAAAACAAATGAAAGCTAAACACAAAATTCACAGAGAACACAGTGTTCCGTATCCAAATTTCCTGTGTAAAATAAAGATTATCTATTAGTCTATTATATATTCATTATTTCAGAGGGTTACTGAGCAGGAAGTAAAATGAGCATAAGCATATTAGTTTTTAGTTTAAAAGATGACATAGAAGAAACCTTCAATCTGAACTTAAAAACACTATGTTTTAAAGGTATCTAATACCACCATATGGATCGTTATACTTTCTGTGTGAAATAAATCACTTTTTAAAATAACCGATTTTAAGATAATATAAAGGCATGCAGAGATACTTAGGAAAGAAATATCCACATGGTGACATAATAACCTTTTAATCTCATATAAAAATTGAACATACAACAGCTAGAAAACAGCTTCTGAATTGTAACACAAATGGTGCAAGAAATTTTGAGATTTTCCCATCTCTATCAAGGTCAAACACCTTTGTGATTTAACTTATTCATGCGAAAATATGGCAAATATACACAGCAACCAACAATACCAATACATTAAAAATGTCCTAACCATGTCACCAACAGATGGCAGGGATAATTCACTAATTTAAAGAAGTACTTGACTAATTAATCTCCAACTGAAGTACAGGGTACTTCAATTGAAGTAAATAGTCCTTAAAGTTCCTCACTTATTAACCTCATAATGGCTTTATAAGTAACTTATCAACATAGCTTCCATTTTAGAATATTAAATAAATTTTCATCTTAATGTTAGCTTACATCACTATATCTTTTTCTACCGTATTTTATAGTTTGTATTTCATTTAAGGTTGTGTTTTTTTTTTAATTGAAGTATGACTGATTTATAATACTACATGAGCTTCAGGTGTACAACACAGGATTCGGTATTTTTGCATATTACACTCCATTGGAAGATAATGCAAGATAACAGCTATTATTTCCTGTGCTATGCGATATATAATTGTTGCTTATCTAGCTCTATTAACTTTGTATACACCAATGTGCCTCACCACACAACAAAGAAAAACTTTAAAGTGCAGTGCCCAAGAAGGCTGAAAAAAAAAAAGAATTAATATTCTGAAGTGCTTTAAAACTATTGGTGTCAATTCATATTACTGATCTGGATTCAACTTCTAACCCACTTCTTAGTGCTTAGGTTAACAGCAGATTCAGTTGATAAAAAATCTTCATGGTAATCCATGGAAAAGATTCCTATTATTCAGACTTGAAACATTTTTCTTCTTCCTAAGTTTTTTCCCTGGTGACTTTAAGTAAATTCATACTACAGCAAAGAAAGTTACTCCATTTAACTGACAATTTTGACTCTTGATCTGACCCACGAAACTAACTTGGCTAACTCTCCTCTCCTATTTAAAAGCAAATCTGTGATTTTCCTCAAGGCATCATTCTGCACCCTTATGATATTCCCCTCTGCTTCATGATCTGCTCTCTTGGTTTCCACAAACATTTGTACAACTCTTTGATTTGATATAAATTGAGATTTTTTTAGAGCCCAAACGCCTGGATTTGAAAACCAGCTCTTCCACAGAATAGCTGCATGAACCTGGGCAAATTACTTAACATCTGGGTTTATTCCCTCATATGTAAAATGGAAATAAAAATAAAACCCATTTCACAGGGCCTGGCATACGGTAAGCACCACAGTGATCAACTACTTTATGCACACCGATCCTCACAACCAATGAGAAAACGAACTAGAAGTAAAAGGACTGACCTAGAGACATAAACACCTTTCACTTGTACTGGACTATTTCATGAATCAACTATAATGTCATCCAATTCTATTCAAAGCCAGATTTAAAACCTGAAGGTTGCTACCAACTCAGAAGTTAGCTTTAAAAGACTACAAACCTAAAACATCACTCATCAGTCTACTCTGTTCAAAAACATACTACTCCCTACGATTTACCACATGAAGTCCACAGTATGGTTTTCAATGCCTTTCATATATATTGGTTGCATCCTACCTCTCTAAACCTATTTCCTGGCACATGCCAACACCTTAACAGAAAGTTAATTTTATGAGCCGTTATACAGACTGCTTAGTACTTGTTCAAACATATTAGCTAGAATGTGTCTCTCCTTTCTCCATTTAATACTAGCAATTCTCTTAAGGTCCAACCCACCCCCCCTCACATCATGTATTTTACAAATCAGTGTATATAAATTCCAAAGGTCAGAAACAACTTCAATAAAACCTTAGATACCTATTTCCAATGATTCTTCCTTCCCTTATGGAGTCTCTTGTTTTTAAGTCTTACCACTTAACAGACATGTATCTTCTCAGTGTTAATTTTACTTTTCTTAATTTTATACAAATGGGCTTAATATATATATATAGTGCTTGTTTAAAACTAATTTACACATGAAGTAAAACTACATTTTCACTGTTATATAGATACCATTATGGCATACATACTTATCTGTTTTTCAGAAGATGAACATTTAGACTGTTTCTAATTTCCTGTCATTACCAAGAATGCTGTTATTGAGTATTTCTTGGTCTTCTGATGCTTCAGTATAAAATTCCCTCCTCCACTGTGCTTCTCAAGAATATCATAACCCACATAAGGGTACATAATTAAGCATTAAAATTGTTCTATTGCTTCACACCTTTTCACAGTGAGAATGTTTTAAGTACAAATGTCTGTCTTTGCTATTACTGTTCCTTTCCCAACTACTCTGTGAGTCAAGTGTTCAAACACTTGACTTTAAACTTTCACATATGCTATAAAAGCTCTTCTTCTATCAGTGACTGTACCAAAGAGAGATGTTTAATATCCTAGTAATTTCCAGAGGGAAAAACCCATACAAATCACCTTTAAAGACCAGAGAATTATCTATTTCATTAACAACCAATGATACTACAAATCAATGGATCTTCCCTGTAGCTCAGACAGTAAAGAATCTGCTAGCAATGCAGGAGACCTGGGTTCAATCCCTGGGTTGGGAAGATCCCCTGGAGAAGGTAATGGCAATCCATTCTTGCCTGGAGAATCCCATGGACAGAAGATTCTGTAACCACAGAGGAGGGCTACAGTCCATGGGGTCGCCAAGAGTCGGACAAGACTGAGCGACTAACACTACTACTACTACTACTACAAATCAAAGATCCTACTGAGACTGTATTATCAATAGACTCCTTTCCAATTTGCATTTACTGCTCACCATAACATCTTCTATTGACATTCTCCTCTTTGCTCTTCTTATCCAGCAGCTATTCCAATGGCAACAGCTGGGAAGACCTATGATTCCACCCCCCCACCATGGGAACCCTCTTTGTTCTCCTATTAACCTGTTTCTGCCTTAAGACAGGCACCAATAACCACAAGCTATTGGTACTCTATAAAAGAAAGGCAGAGATTTGTCATTTAAAAAACTTTCCAGAAAGAGAGCAAGTTTTTATATTAATTAGTCTTAAGTTCTGGAATAGTTTTTTAAAATCTTGAAATTAAAAATTTAAAATAATTTTTAAAATTTTTAAATAAAAATTTTACACATAAGTTTTCATTGTTACCACATATCAATTTCAATGTCAGAAACTCCTGAGTCTTTTTTAGATAGACATTAGGGCTTGACCATTGGAGAAGGAAATGGCAACCCACTTCAGTGTTCTTGCCTCGAAAATCCCAGGGACGGGGGAGCCTGGTGGGCTGCCGTCTATGGGGTCGCACAGAGTCGGACACGACTAAAACGACTTAGCAGCAGCAGGGCTTGACCTACAACTGGGAAAATCAATCACATGGAGGTTGCAACACATCAAAGGTACTGCAACCATTCAGACCTGCCACCTAATAAATTATATTTGGGTCAGGAGAGAGAACACAGCACTTCATCATGTAACTTCTATTGTAGCTTCTATTGTAGCTTATGGTCAATATGATATGCAACAAATCAAAAGCTAAAAAGTACTTTAAAAGGCTTCATATCCACAGTTATCTCAATCCACTGGGCTTCTATGCCCTATCTTTTACTATCCAATAAGAGTTTTCCTATTTAAAAACCTTTTATAAAAAACAAAAAGAAAAACCTTTTATCAAACATTTCAGAACCCTTGACCTAATCCTCCAATGAGAAGACTCACTACATAGTTAGGAGTTTTAAATTAAAGCAATTTCATGGACAGCGTTAACCTTGGAAAAACCACATATATAAAAAAATTGCAAAACTACACTGTCCACAACCCTTCCACGTAACTAACCATGCATTTGGTAACGTCCACCCCAAACCGTCAGTCAGGTATATTGAGAAGCTACTGCCACAGTGTGGGACAGTTTTAATGCAATTCTAACTAAAAGTAGTATATAAAAACAAAGCATGGACTTTTAACTGTAAGATTTGCTAAGAACACCACTTAACAAACCATTGTCCAATTAATTCTTTGATTTCGATCATTTATAAACAGCTAATGACCGCAGTTTATAGCATAATTATTAGTCCTATCAATATTAATTTTATGTGAGAATGCCTTCAGATTCCTGTGTACCTACACATAATAATAACATATTTTACAGAATATCTTACAGAAGCACTTTTGAAAACTGCACTTCAGATTTCAAGAAGCTGGCTCATTTCCATCTCAATTCCCCTTAAACAGAGGTGAGATCCTAAAAAAAAAAAAGTGAGATTCTGGTCTTTTCAGCAGTTCTACATTTACAAAAAAATGTTTCACTTTTCTCATTACAAAAGTAAGTGTAACATCTTGTGGAAATTTCAGGGAAAAAAAAGAGGAGGAAATACAAATGACCCATAAAGCCAACATTCAGGGTTATTTTTTACGCTTATTTACATGATCCTTCAAAAAACAACAAAAGTCATCAAATGTGGTATCAGCAGAGTTTTATTACACTTTCTCCCCAGTCAGTACTATAGTCCACTATAATTTCCCCATCGTTACTCTTAAAATACTTCTAAATAGCTGTATAGATTATCACTTGATGGCCACACTATAATTAGCAGATCTCCAAATGTTGAATCCTTTGGATTTTTAATATGCTTAGTAACCAACATTAACATATACGTACACATACATTTGACACACTATTCCCTTATTTACAGGATAAATTCCTGTAAGCGTAGTTTTTCCATTTTAAGTCTATTTATTGTAACATGCAGAGCCTGAATCAAGTATCTAATCAAAACGTAAGCGTTCTAAACACTGGCTTCATTGCCATTGGTTACGTACATATAACAAGCAGTTCCTTAGACTTCAATTCTTCCTATAAAATTGGAAATTCGAGCTACTTGCCATTTCTAAAATCATGAAAGATTTTTTCTTTGCATTAGTATTTACACTTCCCTAAAAGCATTAGTAAAATTAGTATGTTTAAAGATTTCTTTAACATACAGAATGTTTAGGTCAAGAGTAGTTAAATACTTTCGGATTAGTTCAAAATGTTACGTAAAAGCAACTCCACTTACACACAGCTAAGAGATCCGAATTCTTGATTTCTAAAACAATACTAACGTCACACAATTATGTCGCTAGACTCCGATGATCGAGCCGTTTAGTTTTTAAAAGGTAATTCTGAACACGTATGAATATAGCCTAAAATATAGTTTCTGCCTGCAGAGTACAACTGTTTTAAATTTACCTGGGAGAAAACTGTTCTGTCGACTATCGAAAAATCTTAAACCAAGCTCTGTTCAACGCGCAGAACGCAGCATCAACGCAAAATCTCAAGACTACGGCCTGGGAAATCAACAACACCCACTTTCCAGCGCTCGTTAAAGACTAGAATTTTGGAATCGCCATAACCGTTCTAGAAATATCTGGCTGGAAAACTGTAACTGATCCAATACGACTATTACACAGAATAGCGCCACAGAGCAGGATAAATACCTAGGAGATACTACTCCACTGTATTTGGGAAAAGTCTTTGTATAATACAGAACGTGGCTCAGCGCTCGCAATGAAAAGAACAACGATGCCGCGACTACACCAGGCTACTCTAAACCCTTTGTCTGGAAACCGGAAGGTCCCCACACCACACCATCCTCTCTAGAGAAGCCTAAACTGATAGTATTTTAATAAAGAGGAAAGGAATGTGAGGTGACTCTCTAAACAAGAACAAATCTCCTTCGCAGCGTACTGCAGGCTTTATTCACGACGCAACACGATGAACAAGCGTTAACGTTTCATTTTTCGGCCATTTTTACGCGATGGCGGGGGGAGGGGGGATTGCTTCTGAGGTCCGGCTAAAATCGCGCGCGCCTGTGTGTGGGCGGGGGACAGGAGTATTAGGGGGCGCTATGAAACGATGGGCGAGAAAAGGAGCGAAGGCCGCGACACCAAGAAACGCTGCTCAAACGGCTAAGCTTTTCGGAGTCTACGAAATCCTCCATTTTGGGGAACGTTTTCAGGCGCAAAAGCGGGGAGAAAAAGCAAATATATCTGGGGCTGCTGTTAGCTTAACTATTCTCCCCAAACAGCAGGCCACCCCCCTCATGGTTAGTCGGTCCCTCAGGCCTCGAGCGCTCCTCCCTTTCCCTCAGAGAGGCAGCCCGCGTGTAACGGGCTCGTCGTCCCGCCCCCGCCCACAGCCAGCCCGGAACGCAGGAAGCTCGGCCGATCAGCTGCCCTCGGCGCGCCCCGACTCTGCCTCCGCACCCTGGGCCCTTGGCTGGCCGCCTGTCTAACTCCGGGACCGCTCACCTCCGCCGCCCGAGAAGGCTGGTTGCGCCGCCACTGCGCTCCTAACATGGCGGCCGCCGATCAGGCGGCTCACATACGCAGCGCGGAGGGAGGCAGAGCGGGCGAGCGGGAGCGAGCAAGAAAGGCGCGCCGCCGGCTTCCCGCGGCCCCTGTTGCAGTCGCTGCCTCCTCCCGGCGGACGCGGAGAGCCCCCGGCCACCCCACCCCGATTCTTACCCGCTTCACGCCTACCTTGAAGAAAGGGAGAGGGAAAACGAGAGGTACCTCTCTCCAAGCGAGCGGGACGCGAAGGCTCCCACAATGCCCCGCAGCAACGGCGCTGGTAAGAGGTGGCAGCAGAGGCAGCAGCCGAAGAACAAACCCACTCTCGCGAGAACTCGCCCCAACCCACCTCGGGTCCCGTTTCTGCGCGCGCCAGGCCCCTCCCCCGGCCCGGCGCGCGCACGCCGCTCGCGCCTTCAGCGGCGGTCGTTGTTCTCTGGTCTTGTAGCTCGCCTATGGGCGGGAAATGGAGAGCCAAAGCTTACAGAGTTCGAGTCTCACTCCCCACAAAGGATTTTATTTCCTGACTCTTCCATATTGCTTGGTGCATAATTTAAATAAGGTATGCGTTAGAAGTGCGTCGCAGGATTCCCTGACTTGGACCCTCTCTCTGATAAATTGCGAAGTGGTAGTTCGGGGCAGGAAGTGGAGACGGATACTATTTTGAATGGTTTTAATTTCAGAAATTTTATGCAGCTCACAGAGGAAGATAGCGAAAACCCATTCCACTGAAAAGACCGCCGCCGCCATTTGGTGAATTTGAATTTGAATGTAGAACACTCTTCAAGTACCCCATGAACAAAGAAATACAGCACATGTGAAAATCCTGAGAAATTGTATAGATAAGGATGGAGGAAAGGGCCACTTCCCTGGGGTTTGAAGTTTAAATGCAGAGGGACAGGCAGGCACCTGACGTCTGAGGTAAATTAGTGAATACAAGTCAGATTAATAGCCCTCAAAATTTTAAATCTTGAGTATGCTGAACCATTCTGGGTCCACTGTGAAGATAGTGGACGGGGCAAAAATGAACAGCAGACCTGTATAAAATTTTCGAAATCATTTAAGACAAAAAGCAAGACTTGATTGGATATGGAAAATGGAGAAGTATCATGTAAGAATGACAACTGTTTAGCAGTGCTATTGAGTGGGAGATGGGGGCAGTAAGGCTTCAGTTTGTCATCAGCTTTAAAGGAATTATATTTATTGACCTTGATCTCAGGAGAAAAGGGTGTGGGTTAGTGACAAATTCGAGTTAATATAAGTGAAGGAGAGTTAAGAGATGAGCTGGAGATAGTATGGTAAAAAGAGAAACCTTAGGACCAAGCCTTGAGAAACTAATCTGGTAGTTAAATGGCAAGAGACCACGTTGATGGGGGAAAAAATAGAGGGGAAGGCACAGAAATTGTACTGCCTTAATAGGCAAAGTACTCAAAAGACTGAACGATCAACAGGGTCCAATGCTACAAAGAGGTCAAGACTAGGACTAAAAACATCTACAAAAGATTTGGCAACAGGGACTTCCAGTTCAGTGGGAGAGGATGTCAGATGGGGGGTGCTTAGTATATGAAAAGTGTAAAACAAACTACCAAATGCAGAGTAACTGGCTATGATAAGAAAGCAGGGTTGGGGAAGATTTGATTTACTAAAGGAGAATTTTGGGCAATTAAAATGTTTGCAGAAGAGTTATATTAGGAAAGGATTGGTTGGGAAAGACAGCAAGAGAAGGAAAGATTCATATTGGCCATTACTCAACAGATGAGATCTAGAGGAGACATCCCTTTCCTTTAATAGGTACGGAGAGGATGGTGCTAAATTTTCATTAGGAATTAGTCAGGTGACTTAAGTTTTTGTGACTAAGCCGTCTATGGGAAGGGCTAGAGTTACATGAAGGAAACATTTTAAATAGCCGTTGTGAAGACTGGAACTGTAATCCCACATCTCCATTATGTTGCATGCTTTTCCATAGGCTTTGAGAAGGCATTTGGTAGAATACATCAAGAACTGGGGCATCCCTAAGGCCACTGCATAGTTAACTTTGGAATGAAATTTGTGAGTGAATATTGGGTCCTCCTTCACTTCTACTCTATGAGTCTTTGATTTCAACTGATTTTGGCTAAGACTTCACTTTATGTTCTCCCCAGATCTTAGATGAAAACAGCTCTGCTTTTCTGGATTCAGAAACATGAATGCATGCTTATTTCAGATATACACTTACCATGCTTTTGTACAGGCTATTAATGCAATTTGGTGATTATACAAAGAAGGAAGGCAAACTTTTTCAGTTGAGTAATTATTTATTGAGGATCTGCTTAGAAGGTCAACAGCAAAAGACACACTGGAAACCAAAGGTAATACAAGATTTCAGTCGTCAAATGCCTATTTCATGATGGATGGTTCAATCCCTGGGTTGGGAAAATTCCCTGGAGAAGGGCATGGCAGCCCATTCCAGTATTCTTGGGATTCTCCAGGAGCCTGGCGGGCTACAGTCCACAGGGTCACGAAGAGTCAGACATGACTAAAGCAACTGAGCACACATGCACACATACAATGATGTATAAGACAGATTATCAGTTTTTGAGAATCCCAGTCTGATGAAGACTGGACAAGGAGGCTGGCCTCAAGATGGGCCTGGCTATGAGAAGAGATGGATCAAGAGTTCTATTCACATTTGGGTTTCTATTTCATATTTGGGAGTGGGCGTGGTACACCAGTGATGACAGAGGCTACAAAGCAAAACTTTCTGCTAAGACTTTGAAAGGTTTTAAGTTTTAAGTTTGGAATAAAACTTTAAACACCAGGATACAGTCTCCATAAAGCTAATGAGTATCCTTCTAAAGTTTTGAGCAGAGGAGTTGGTTGAGGACATATTTTCACACCACACAATCACTAAGCAGCTGATAATATAATTTTAAGAGTAAAGTACCTTTACTCTTATTTTACATAAGAGATTAAGAAGCTTGCCTAGCTAGGATTTGAAGTCAGTTCTAAATAAATCCAAACCCAGAGCATTTGAGCATTATATTAGACTGCCTTCAGCAAGGCTGTGGTCTCCTGGCAGTTCACCATCTACTTTTTAAATAGATATAATGCCTTGGAGGGGCTTCCCTGGTGGCTCAGTGGTGAAGAATCTGCTTACAATGCAGGTGACCAGGGTTCAGTCCCTGGATTGGGAAGATCCCCTGGAGGAGAGCATGGCAACCCACTCCAGTACTCTTGCCTGGAGAATTCCATGGACAGAGGAGCCTAGTGGGCTACAGTCCATAGAGCCACACAGAGTTGGACATGACTAAAGCGACTAAGCAGCAGCAGCAGCAGCAAGGTTCTAGAACCAGGTCATTTCAAAACTTTAGGCTATTTAAAAAAAACTGTTAACCAGCAGCTCTTTTAGCAGTTGCAAGGGAGGGGAAATGGGCTTAAAGATTTGGGGGAACTTCCTGGTGGTCCAGTAATTAGAGAACTCCATGCTTCCACTGCAGGGGTCCTGGGTTTGATCCCTGGAGGGAGGATCCCTGGTCAGGGAGATACCACAAGCCATACAACACGGTCAAAAATAAATTTAAAAATTGGGGGAAGTTTTTGAATAAGGAATACATATAATAAAATTCAAAGCACACACAGAAGTTTTCCCCAACTGCTATTCCCTTAAAGGCAACCACCATCAACCATGTTTATTTTAAGGATTTCAAATAGTTAGGCACGGTTACATCTTCAGGACTTCCCTGTAGCTCAAATGGTAAAGAATCTGCCTGCAGTGCAGGAGATGGGTCGGAAAGATCTTCTGGAGAAGGAACAGCAATCCACTCCAGTATTCTTGCCTGGAGAATCCCATGGACAGAGAAGTCTGTGGGGGTCGCAGAGTCAGACACAACTGAGTGACTAACACACATACATGTTATATCTTTACAGAGTCCACTAGCAAATGATTTGGAAACCGACATATTTGTTTCCATGATTTTTTTCAAAATTTAACAAAACCAAACCAGCACTCTTACTATCCTTACTTGCCAGGGTATTGTTAAAAAGTAGGATACACCTATGACTTTACTCTATATTGGGTACATAATGACACACTGATACTAATATTTACCAGTTGAAGCTCTCCAGTCAGCTATTGGTATAATTGAGGCTGCTTGGCTATATGGGAGTGAGATAAACATTTAAAAACTGGTAAATAATACCTTTTCAAAGGACTGTTAACATGGCATCTGGCTATCTAACTCTGTGGTTGAATATAGCACAATGACACATAAAATGGGTGTTCAGTCAGGGAAGGTGCTATCTGAGCTGAGATATAAAAGTATACAAAGTGGAAATGGAAGATGGAATCAGAAAGGGAAACAGCATGTGCAGAGACTGAAGAAACCAACATGGTCAGAAAGAAATCTGAAGGTGGTAAACATGACTGTGTTGTGTTCATCACGTATCACCAATGTCTAGCATAGTGTTCAGTTAATAAAAGCTGTAAAACTATAAAAAGGGTATGAGTTAAATGACTAGTCTTCTGACAAGATGAGCAAATAGCATAGGTTATTATCACTTCCTCAACCCTGGATATATTATACGTACAAATAAGAGTGAGGTTAGGGCCCAAAAAAACTAAATATGAAGAGTTCCCTGGATAAACAGATCATGATTGGGCTCTACTATACAGGGGCAAGAAATGTAAGCTCAGTTTAGTAGTATAGTGCCATTGGAATAGGGTCAGCATAGGTCACACAGAAAACTCTCCAGGAGTGGCCAGCATATTGTAACCATTAGCTCCTGGAGTTCTCATCTAGCGAATTACAACTGAGAATAAGAAGAGGAAGTTCTACTATCTGCCATTCTGATGAAGTCCAGGTTCTATCTAACTCACAGGCTGTGTGCCTTGGGAATTTGTCTAGTTTCCTTCAACTCATTGATGTTGGGCCTACACTAGGGCCTGGGCTTGGCTCCTCCCTTCTCCCACCAGCTGATACAAAATGTGAGCTCATAAGGTAAAAATAATCAGTCACTTGGGGACTACAGCATCTACTATAAAAGACAACAGGCTCAATCACTATTCTAAATGAAAGAATAAAGGCTATAACTAAGGCATTTTGAGTATTAAAGACAACCTACAGAATGTAAGAAGATATTTGCAAATGATGCTATGGACAAGAGCTTAATTTGTAAAACATATGAATAGCTCATACAACTCAGTATTAAAAAAAATAATAAATGGGTGGAAGGCAGGGGGGATCGGGATGGGGAACACATGTAAATCCATGGCTGATTCATGTCAGTGTATGGCAAAAACCACTACAATACTGTAAAGTAATTAGCCTCCAACTAATAAAAATAAATGGAAAAAAAAAATGGGCAGAAGATCAAGGAAGTCTTAAGAAGCTGTCACAGCCAAGAGAAGCCTAAAGAGACATGATGACTAAATATAATATCCTCAATGGGATCCTGGAACAAGTAAAGGACATTAGGTGAAAAATAAGGAAATGTGAATAAAGCATGAACTTTAGTCAATAACACATGTACTATACTAATATGTTACTATTAGGAGAAACTGGGTGCAGGGTACATGGGATTTGTTTGTACTATCTTCATAGCTTTTCTGTACATCTACCAACTATTCTAAAATGAAATTTCAAGGTCCATTTTATCACCTCTTCCCAGGTAGTAAAGTTACCCTTAAAAAGCAGTATAAAATGTTCTTACACTCTAAAGGGCTTGTAATGGAGAATACGGATAGCTAAAGTAACAGGGTCTCCTTTGAATCAGGCCATAGGATCCTAAATTGACAAATCTATGACCTAGCAAGTGGGCTCATTAGGTGTTCCTAAACAACTGTAAAGAGCAAGGTGTTGCTAAACAGACATTGTAAATATTAAAGTTGTTAATTCAGTGAAATTGTTTTTCAAGAGAATATTACTGAATTGACAGGTCTATTAACTGAAGCTGTTCATAAAGCCCTAATTAAGCAAAAAGATTCAGAGGAGCCATTGTCACTCTTTTAGGTTCTTAATTAGTTCCTCTAACCAGGTTGTTTTCCTTAAGTGTGAATTCCTAGGCCCTGAGCCACCTTTTTGTGTCTCTTTGGGGCCTGCAGAATTTATTTCTCTGGGGTTTTGTTTTCCTGATTAAAATTTGAAATGTAATCCAAAATTTCATTGCAAAACTCACTGACGATAGTTTTTTCCAACCTTGAATGAAAGGAAATAAATCATTGACAGGTGACAGACTCAATACTTGGGGCCCCCTACTCATTCTGCTTTAATTTTCCTTTCTTAATATGGTGTAGGTCCTGAACTTGAGCAGCTCAATGAAAAGGGGCACTTGTGTTTACTAATTGCTAGCTATAGCAGGAGGTGGCAGCTTGGATATTTACAGACCAATATCTGCCAGTTCAATTTCAGTTTTCACTGCAGCATGGGAAAAGGGTGATGGAGAAAGAGAAGGCATGGATTTAAAGCTACTTTGAAATGTTACTTCACCTTAGACTCACCAGGAAAAAAAAAAACAAACTCAAGCCGACAGGGAGTAGTAGGTGACTAATTAACTTCACTTATCAAGTAGGAAATCCCATTAAATTATTTTAATGTGCATGATTAAGCCACTGAAACCTCTGGGGGTACTGAATACAGGCATAAACACCAAATGAATTTTCCTTTTTCAAGTAGCAACATAGGGGCCTCTCCCCGCACCTGGGTAGCTTTACCATGCTCAGGAAAGCCATCTATATTCTAATAACTTGAGATTCCAGATTTTAAAACCTGGATTTTTTTTTCCTAGCTATTCTTTTTTTTTGTTTTTATGACATAATCATTATTTTTTTTATTCAAAGCTAGGTTTTAGTTGAAGGATAATTGCTTTACAGAATTTTGTTTTGAAAGAATTGTTTTCTTTCAAACCTCAACACGAATCAGCCATAGGTGTGTGTATATATATATCCCTTCCCTTTTGAACCTCCCTCCCCATCCCACTCCTCTAGGTTGATACAGAGCCCAGTTTGAGTTTCCTGAGTCATACAGCAAGTTCCCGTTGGCTATCTTAAATATAGTAATATAAGTAGTATCCATGCTACTCTTTCCATTCATCTCACTCTCTCCTCCCCTCTCCCCATGTCCATAAGTCTGTCCTCTATGTCTGTTTCTCCATTGCTGCCCTGTAAATAAATTCTTCAGTACCATTTTTCTAGATTCCATATATATGTATTAAAATGTGATATTTATCTTTCTTCTGGCTATTCTTGATATATAAAAATTTCCTCTTTCCTTAGGGACCATTTCTACTTCACTACTAGGATTGGGTTTGTGATCAGGTTCTGCTGGAAACCAAACACTGCTGTTCTTTCTTAGGACCTCCTTAGGTGTACATTTAAAAAAGAGGACCATTATAAGTAACCCATTCAAAAAGCACATACAATAAACCCCAAATATAAGAAATAAGGACTATCCTACTACTGTACTCTAAAAGCTGAAGAGGTTAATACTATGTGGTAAAAGCTTGTTATAAGGCAAAGGTATTGATAACATCTAATTTTTCAGGGACACATGTTGGTACTGGCCCTAAATCTGTTACTAATGAGCTGTAAACTCCCAGGCCTGAATTTCATTCCCTAAGACAGGGGTTGGTGTTTCTGGCCTGCCATCTGTTTTTGAAAGGCCCTCAAGCTTAGAATGGTTGAGGGAAATTTTTTTCCTTCACTGAAAAGTTTATGAAATTTTGATTTCAGTGTTCCTAAATAAAGTTGTATTGGAGTAGTGCTCATTTGTCGACATATTACCTATGGCTGCGTGTACACTGCAACTGCAGAGTTGAATAGTTGCAACAGATAGTAGGTAGTCACTAAGTACTGAGAGGGAGAAATGGATTTTGTCAATTTTAAATCCACATGTATTATGCAGCAGAGCTCTAGAAAATGAAGATTTAGTTTAAGTCTTGGGTTTACTTATTTTTAGCTGTTCTGCACCTTAATTCCCTGAGCAGGGATCAAAGCCAGGCCCCCAGCAGTGGAAGCACAGAGTTCTAACCACTGGACTTCCAGGGGATTCCCAAGTCTTGGACTTTAAGCATTCTCCTCTAAAAGTCTAGTTCTCACCACAGTTTTTTCAAATGTTAAGTATTTCTGCCTTTTAAGAAAACCACATGCCTCCTCCTATTTTTCCTTCAGTCTCAAACTCTGACCATACTCTTAGTGTTTTTGACACCAGATGTATGGGTCTTGTCACCAGCTGGGTGTCCTGCAGTGTAACTCAATTCTGACACCATCTACACCTAGAAGTAACTTCAGATCTCAGAGGCTAAGGGCACAGTCCCATAAGACTGCCCCTCTTCCACGTCAGATGCCAAACCCAAGTCCAGGTTGTCAACCTGTGCTTCTGACAGAAAGGCTGTAAGTCAGAGATTGACACAACCTTCTCCTTGGGTTTGACTAATTTTTGCTAGAGGGGCTCAAAAGAGCTCAGGAAAACAGCTTACTATTTACTGGTTTACTGCAAAAGGATATGATAAAGGATACAAATGAACATCCAGATGGAAGAGATGCATAAGAGAAGGTATGTGGGAAGGGGCATCACTCTCCCAGCACCTCAATGTGTTGTTAGCTAACCTGGAAGTTCTCTGAACCCTATACTAATGGAATTTTTATGGAGGCTTCATCATGATCATTTCCAACCCCTCTCCCCTCTCTGGAGAAAGATTGTGTATTATATGAGTGTGTGTCTAGAGTGTGTGTAAAAATTCCAGTCCCATTATAACAAAGACTTTCCTATCACCCAGGAAGTTCTAAGGGATTTAGGAACTCACTGTCAGAAACCAGATTCAAAGACCAAGTATTAGAACAAAAGATGTTCCTGGACCTTCAGGACAAAAGGACTACATACATTACTTATTTGGATGTCACAAAGGGCCATCAGACCCCCAAGGTCCCAATGGAGGAAGGTTTCTCACTCAGGCAAAGGCATCTAGGATTCAAAGAGGAAACGAATGACAGGCTGTCCATAAGAAAGGGTCTTTTTCTAACAGAAAAAAACTGTTTGCACCCAGACTAGGACCAACTCCACAGGAGGAGTTACTCCACTCTCAGAGGTGCAAAACGCTGCCCAGAGGTACTCAGCCACAACACCAAAACAGTGCTGAAGTCAGACCTCAATAAAGGCAGTGCTTGCTCTTCCAACAGTGTAACACCATCCGAGGCATCACGCTAGCCTGGATAGCTGACAACTGCTGGATGATTCCCGAAACAGGTTTCTTACTTGTTTCAGAAGTTATCCCCATGAATTGAACATTGACTGCAAAACAGAGGCCTGGAAGCACAGATTGCAGACCCTGCTGTCAAAACCTTGAAACAAATAGGAAACAGGAAACCCTTTCCCATGCCTTACAGTCATTTTATACAACACTGAGAGTTCTTGCCATGTGCTGGGCGCTGTACTTGGGATCTAGGAATTGGAATCTGTGAACAAGGTAAGAGACACTACTTTCCGTCATGAAATTTACAATCTCCCCTCAGTTTTCTCAGATGTAATGATACACATAATCTCAAAAACCTCAGACCAAAATCACCAAAAACCTATTCAGCCTTTTTCTGCCCAGAGGCTGAATTTATTAGGGACAAATACAATTGTTTCTGCCTTCCAGCTGTTTTCTGATGGGCTCCAACTAACAGGCCTGGCACATGGTCAGAATGAGTAAGGACATTTACCTGATAACGCCATACAGGTAGATGGTCTACTTGCCACTAATTTCCTCTCTTCAGGAGGGCCAAGGATGCCCTACTTTTGAGTCATCCTAAAAAGAAAAAGATTTCAGTGTTAACATCCTAGCTTATGAGGCTGCTTTTCTGTAGAGATGGCAACAATGCTGTCTGCCATTTATGATTTACCATAATTTTTATATCCTCAGCAATTATTTCCCATTACTTGTCTTTTTTTCTTGCCTGTTACCACTAAAGCTCTCTAGATATTACTTGTATTATGGACCCATGTGTAAAAGGCTGTTCACAATGAACATCTGAGGTGTTCACACAAAGCACCCAACATTTAGCTAAGAGAATTCTTTTAAGGGAAAGCCAATCAATAGAACAAAACTAGCTTCAACAAATACCTCTGCCTCCAACATCCTCATCAAGTCCTTCTGTAGAAACTAAGATGTTACTTTTCACTGAAAGCAGCAACTAAGTCTGACCCATTGGATAACCTCCAGCATCACTCTTGCCTAGAACTGAGAAGCATCTCTTCTCAGAAAATTAGCATTCCAAAACAAAATCACTGCAAAGGGGACTCAATTACTGCTCCAAAAGAGGCAATAATTCTGCTTACTCATGAAAATCAGTAAAGTGAAAGTCACTCAGTCGTGTCTCTCTCTCTTTGCAACCACATGGTCTATACACTCCATGGAATTCTCCAGGCCGGAATACTGGAGTGGGTTAGCCTTTGCCTTCTCCAGGGGATCTTCCCAACCCAGGGATCGAACCCAGGTCTCCTGCATAGCAGGCGGATTCTTTAGCAGCTGAGTCACAAGGGAAGATACCAACAAAAATCAGTAAGGTACCAAAAATCAGTAAGATACCAACAAAAAGTAGAAATCTGTCAACCTGAAGTAGAAATTAGTATTGCTGTAGCTAGGCCTAGTATTTGGAGCCCCTCAGTTAATTGCTACTTTTATATTCTATTGATGAGAGCAAGAATCCTCATCATTTTAAAGCAAATTCACATCTACATTCCTTATAAGGTATGGCAGTCTCACAAGTAACTACAGTTATAAAATCCTTCTACAAAGGGATTATCCTGAGTACCTCTGTGTTGGTAGAGGAGTGGGAGCTATGAACTTTGATTTCAGTGAAATCTGCAAAAATCACATGGCCCCCTTTGAGCACTCAGTAGACTAAAAAAAAAAAAACCCTCAACTTTTTCTCTCTATTTATATATCCCTCTATTTCTTCTGTTTCCAAGGTATGATTCAAAGAACTTCATACTAGTCAAACCTGTCAGACCAGAACCATTCTCCGCGTTAGGTTTCTCCCTGCAAAGGCACATGCTTGCAGATTTAACCTCCATGAAAAAACAACTATGCTGGCATCCTGGTATAGTTAACAACAGAGTAGGCATGAACCAGGCCCAGAATGCCAACCAGCTATCGGCTGCTGTTCTCCCAGCAGTGTAACACTTGCCTAGGTACACGGAAACCTAGGCAGCTGCCTACAGCTGGGGCCAAAGGTAGGCTATTGGAGCTGCACTTACCTGGGGCTCCATCTGCTCAAAAGTTCACAGCTGGATGCTCTGCAATCAAAGCACTCCAGGTTAGAGACAGACAACAGTTAGTGAACACTTGTGTGGCGTTCAAGACCCCTACCCTCAAAACTCCCTTAACTCAGTGAGGCCTGAACCACAGAAACAATAGTCAACAATAAAACAGCTTTCCCTTGGTTAGCTTTATTGTCGTCATTCTTACTTGCATACCACAGCAGTTCAACAGTAGCAAATTAATGGTCTCATCAACAAGTATCAGGAAGCTTGGCTGCCACTCAACAGCCAAATGACAGTGGGCAAATAACCTCTGTACCTCAGTCTCATTTGTAGAATGGGAGTGTTGTACACAGGGTGTTTGGGAGGTTTAAACGGAATATAAATTAAGTGCATAAGATAATATCTGCTATAGACTGGGAACTTACTCTAAGCAAAGAGATGATGAATACTGGTGAGCAGAAGGGAAACTTATCCTTGCAAAGTAATGGGCACTGAAAATTGGAAAGGCTGGTTGAAACTAGATTGAAAAGGGCCTCAATTATGTGATCTCTTGAACCATAAAAGCAGCATTTTAAAAAATAATTGGATGCAGTAACGGGATGTTAAAGAAACTGGAGACAGTTAGGTTGCCAGTCCTGCCAACGACCCCAACTACTGGTTGAAAACAATAACCAAAATGTTTGCAAAAATGTTAACACTCCTACCCATTCACCCTTACAATTTACCTTGTTTGTATAAGGTGAGAGTATCTAAGACAATACTTTTTCCCAGCCTTCCTCTAATTTCACCCCAAAACGCTTCCAAACAATTAGAGGAAAAGGAAAATAGAGGGCTCATTGTCCAGGTCTAAAAACGAATCTAAAAATAGCCCGTCCCTTTCTGCGCTCAGATAGAAAGAACTGACGGAGCTCCACCCGACCACGTGTTCCTCACGAACCTTCCCAAGTCCCTGGCCC